ACATACCAAATAGGTAACTGGGAGGAGATGATTATGTTTATTGCTTGAACTTGAAATAATCATTCACTGCAAATATGTGTATCAAACATCATGTTGTACAAATTACATACAATCTTTATGAAAAATAGTTTTAAGGATACTCCTTGTATTAACATAATTAGTGACATCTTTGAGTTTTATCACAGTAGTGGAAATTTAAAGGAGAAATAAAAAATTGAGAGAATGATACAAGCCTTACACATCGTGGTAGTGGATACCAAGGACAACGTATTAGTCACTTTGCAGAACTGGGACAAAATACCTGACACCCAAATTTTTTGTTTTGTTTTGTTTTTCCTTGTTAAAAAAAGGTGTATTCATAAACAGGCAAAAGAAATTCATGAATTGTGATATTCCTTTTCAGAGGACGCAAGACTAGAATTATTTTGTGTGTAGTTCATTCTAGGACTCAATCTTGATTACTGATATTTAAATTGTACTATCTATATTAACATTAAAACAGTTCTAATTTTATAACTTTAACAATCTAATCTTGTCTTCTTTGATTGCCATTTGAATCCTACTACAGTAAGTGTCTGACTTACAAACATTTAGGTTGTGAATTTTCACAGGTGATCCAACCTCCCTTTAGGAACATTCCTAGTTTAGCTCGCACGTCTACCTTACCATTTTAAGGTAACTGTAAAAGTACAAATAATTTACAGTATTTGTGTGTTAGGTTTTTTATGCTTTACATTGTATATTTGTGTCAAAGGTATATAATACTCATTTTTTTGGACTTATAAACAGATCTGATTTACAAATGTTCTCTGGGAATAGAACTGGTTCATAGGCCAGTTACTTACTATATTTAATTCATGAGAGACTTATCCCAAAAAACCAATGCTCACTGATTTATTCAGCTCAAAATATAAGAAACTTATATAGAAACTTTGAAAATATAAGAAACTTTAAGCTGAATATAAGACCAGAGTTTAGAAACTTATTTTCTAGTCTTAGCTGTCCCACAGGTATAATGGCAGGGTATTCTTTTCACCTTCTGAGCCTACTTCCTTGCTCAATAGCTTGCAATGATTCATTATATGCCTCCTGGAAATCAAGTCGACAGTCCATGACTTCAGAGGCTGAACTAGAAAGATGAGGCAGTCTGGCCTAAATAACCTTTAAAGCCTTTGTTTGGAGTTAATATTCTATGATTGGAATGGGATTATACTTACATGCTGTGACCTAAGGTTAATATAATGAAGACTTCCAAATGACGACAAAAAAGCTGTGAAATATTAAAGTTTTCGTATGTGACCCCCAGTAAAATAACTTTTAAAATCAGAAGCAGGTTTCATGTATTCATTCAGAAGGTGATTCAACTGTAGCTCTTTGAGCATTATGCAATTCTATATTTAACAATCTTTTTTTCTCAGCAATTCTTTGAACTTTTATAATCTTCAAGAGATTCTCTCAGCTGAAGTTTTCATGCATTCAGGTATTTTGCATGATGTCTGATGTGACCGGCAATAAAGGTGGCCATGAAGTAGTAACTATGATCATAACCCCCTTGTAATCTAAAAATAACAGAGATTTTCTTTTCTGTCTAGGCAGCAATGCAGTTATCCGGGAGTGACTGTCCATCTGAAAGGAGCTGGTCATCTTTTCCTGGCTCAATCAGTTTGTCCAGCTGAGAACCTGGATAAGATTTCCCACGATGGGTTGCATCGTAAGTTTTCCCATTTACTTTGATCCGTTCCCAAATATCCAATGAAGGCTTTTTTGCCTCAAGAGCAGAGCACTGAGCTGAAAATTGGAGCAAATGCTGACACAGATTTGTATTTTCCAGGGGTTTTGAAAGCACAAATCAGAGCTCGGTGGCCTCCCACGGAGTGGCCAAAAATAGACATCATTTGGGGAATCCACTGGAAAACTAGCATTTATGAGTTGGGGAAGCTCCTCTGTTATGTAAGAGTACCTTCTGTAGTTAGGTTTCCGAGGATCTTCATTAGCATTTGCATAAGACCCCCTCCAGTCCCGAGGTCCCGGCTATCATCCTCTCCTTTCATATGGCATTATCGAGGTCTGGTGTCTGAAGGGATGATGACAAGGCTGTGTTTTGAGGCAGCTTGGTGGTAACCAGATTTTGATATAAAATTTTGTTCTGTGTAGTTAAGTCAGAGCCAATACAGGGCAGGGCACTTTCCAGTTTCTGCCTTTGGTGGTAAGTAGACAGCAAATTTCATCTGACATTTTACCTCCACATTCTCACGTTCAAAAGATTTCTGCCATCCCCCAAAACACTTGTTGGAAATCGGCTTCAGCACCATTCTTCTCCTGTCCAATTGGTATTTGCTTATCTGTAGCAAAGGGCACATGACCTTTGCTGCGGTGCTGTGATGGCAGTGGTGAGTACCAGAGACCTTGTTTTTGTTTTTTAAGACAGGGTCTCACTGTGTAGTTCAGGCTGACCTTGAACTGACTATGTAGCCTAGGCTGGCCTCAAACTCATGGCAATTGTCCTGCCTCAGCCTCCCAAGTGCTGGGATTATAGGCATGCACCACCATGCCTGACTATGACACCCACAATTTAAAGGAGGGGTTTGTTTTGGCTTGTAATGAAAAATAGCTTCAAAAACTAAAAACAAAGCATACAGAAAATTGAAGTAGCATGTCATCTGAGCGGGTCCACTAGAAGGAAGTATGCAGTATATTTAATGACCATCAAGTCCCTAGTACCAAGAGAAAGGAACACGGTGACAGGGGAGTGTACACAGTGAGAATGTAATTCAGAGGATGGTGTGTCATTTTGAGAGTTCTCATTAGTCCATTTTCAGTAACATACCCTTCTTCCCTGACCACCCAAAAGGGGAGAAAGCAAATTGTTCTGACTTATAATTAAGTATCATTGCAAGACAGTTAAGTATAGTGTTTGAAGTCAAATGCAAATTGAATTCAAGTCTGGGTTTTGTTACCAGGAAGCTTAATTATTCAAGTTTCTCCATCAGACAATATGTGGGGAACCACTCAGACTGCTTCAAAGCTAAGCGGCATCTAAGGACACTTGAGGACGTGACCCCATTTGTCTAGTGTGGGTGCACAGTGGGATACAGTTATGTAACCATGACTTAGCACAGGTCAACACGCATGCACTGGTTACGGCACTGTGTAAGAATGTAAACATGAGATAACAACCTGTATAAGAATTATACAATAAAGATGCAGGTAGCTCTCTTGCACCCTTTGCTCTGCTGCTCTGCTCTGCTCCATGCTGTCTGCTGTTGTTGCTGATGTCTTGCACATGTGTGTTCTTTAACCTTGCGACCTCACCTGCTAAAATCTCCCTTGGGTGCCCTGAGCGGGTAGACAACTGGCATAGTTGGTGGGACATTCAGGTGAATGGTCCCATGATGGCTGTGGAAACAGTACCATAAGGTGAGGGAGAGCCCCCAGAAATGGTGGATAAGCAACGCCTGCTGGCCTCTCCTTAGCTACCTGTAATTACTTTCTTGGAAACTTGAAAGGCCTGGAGGACTGGGGAACAGTCCGTTTGGAGTCCAGAGATGTCTTGCAAGCCTTGGCAGCAATAGATAGACAAATTCCTCCCCCTCACCATGAAACAGTAGGTCACCATCTACTGTTCGGTGGTTTGGCTGTTTTTCACTCTCTTCTGCTGCATAAACCAAAAGGCAGATGGCCTTGTCCAGCAAGTAGACCAGCTGCAGCAGATAGAAGAGGACCTTGAGCTATGGCTAGCTGCTGTGGAGCTTATGTTTTGAGTCATGGGAAGCACTGCCCCCTCTAGAAATGTCTCCAGAAGTGTAAGTCCTCATGTACAAGAAAACCTCCGGGGAAAATGTCCTGGTTTTTCATGCTAAGCCAGCTAGTCATCAAAAAGTGGAGATGGAGGGACCCCTAGCCAGGAAGGAGAACTGGGAGGGCCGCCTACCTCTACCCAGCACACAACGTGCACGATCTATACAGCCATGGAGCTGCAGGAGCCGGCAAAGCAATCAAAGCAGAAAGTGGGCATAACAGTGCCTACCCGGCTTCCACCGCTGTAGAACAATGGGGCTGATGATACTCAGTTAAGCTCACAGATGTCCCAAATAGTCAACACAGCCAGCACCCCTTCTATGAGATAGGTTCACAGAATGTGCAGAGGACAGCCCCAGAAGCAGGTAATCAGACTGTGAGAAATTGACTGATGCAGTGGCTTGCCTGGTCTGGGAGAATCCAGGTGACCTGCTGGAGCAAGTCACCATCTAGGCTTGATAACTGTGCTACATGAAACAGGCATGTGGCAGATGATGTTTGCACTATAGTACCGTAGCCCAGATGAAGAACGTCTCACGGCACACATGAAGAACATGATCCTGGCTAGTGGGCCAGCTGGCATGTTCGGGTCAGTGGCAGCCCTTCTATCCCCTTTTATAGTTGCTGATACGCAATGCTGTGGATGCCTTGGCGAGGCTGCGAGAAGCGGAAGTGAAGCACTAAGGTAAGGTGAGATCTGTAAAAACTGTACCAGCAAAGGAAAAAGTTCGGGTGAGCAGGGCTATCTCCCCAAGGACAGGCTTGTGGGGCCCCTGATGGAGCAACAAACTCGAAATTAGCTTTATAATACCACTGTCACAGACCCTGTGAACTCAGGTGAGGTCAAGTTCCTGTCTTGCAGATCAGTTACTTTGGGGAATAGGCCTAAAGAAACACTAGCTCTAAAGACAGAACAAACTCCTGTCAGAGGTCGCAAACCCTGATGGTGTCCCAAGGGCACCCGGCCAAGCTGCATCAATTGGTAACGGAAGGAGCACTTTGTTTAGGTGCCCTACCCCACCCTCAGCAGAGAGGTCTAGTACTTTGAAGAAAAGCGCACGCAGCGGCTCTACTTGGCAGAAGACCGGCTATAAAAACACCTACGCTGGGACTCCCTTTCGCTCCCCGGGAAGACGTCGCGCGGCTGACTTCCGGGTGGCGTGTACGTCGCGCTCACACGTCATGGCGTCATCGCGTCAAAGTGCGCAGAGCGCGTTTTGGCGCGCGCTTCTTAAACCAGGCGGCGGTCCCGCCGGCTGCGCGCCTTGAGTCCTGCCGGGAGCTGTAGTCCGCCGGAAGCAGCTTGAGGGGTCCAACGTGTGACCTAGGTGGCCGCTGACGCGGTGTTTGTCGCCTCCTCTCGCCAAAATTGAGCCGCACCTCTGGAGCGGGTTAGTGGTGCCGGGGGTGGAGCCGTGCCTCCCGCGGCCCCAGGTGTCCAGGGCGGGCGGGGAGCGCCTCTCGCGACGCGGGTGGAACCGCGCGCTTGGTGCCGCGGTCTCTGCGGAGTTTCACCCCTGAGGGCAGCGGTCGCGTCCCGCCGCGCAGCCCCGCCGAGCGCACGCGAGCCCTTCGCTTCCCGGGGATTCCTCCCCGACTGGTGCGCGCCTTTGGGCCCCGCGAGCCGCCGGCATTTGCTCGGTAGCTGCCCCAACCTGAAATTTCATCTGGGCACGCTGTACGTGTCTTACTGAACTCCCAGTGATTGCTTCGTTGCGGAGATCCAGGGATTGGGGATTGGAAAAATGTGTTCGCCTCTCACAGGAGCCCTCTGTAGCTCCCGAACCGCTAGCCACGCGTGTCTAGTTAACGCAGTTAAAATTAATGTTAAAACGTTCTAGCTGCTTTACAAGTGCCTGATAGGGCTGGCGGCTACAGGATTGGACAGCACAAGTCTAGAATATTCTCATTCCTAAATTATGTTATTGCCCTAAAAATGGGACTAAGGTAGAAAATCTTAACTGTAAACAAACTTTCCAGCGATTCTCATTTTTACCTCGCTTAGCAAGGAATGCATCCCCTTGACTTACATTTTGCTCTTATCTTTTGCAGAGGTACAGTGAAGCAAGCGGTGGAAAAATATTGTAGAGAAAGATGCCTATTGGATCCAAAGAGAGGCCAACTTTTTTTGAAATTTTTAAGAGGCAATGCAGCAAAGCAGGTATTGACAGGTTTTATAAAACTTGATAAATTACACTGAGAAAATGTTTTCAGAAAAATGAGGTAAAGACTAAAAAAAACCTAATACTGTACTTTCTTTACACTGTAAACTGTTCCTTATAGAGTCATAAATCTAGTTAAAAACTTAATTGTTCAAATAGAACCAGATGATGACTATAGAATCCCTAGTGGGTAATGAAACTGTCCCCTAGGAAGAATTGTTTTTGAAGTACCACTGGCAAGTCAGAAACATGAATAAGTCATTTTATGCAGGGATTGCCTAACTTTTTGGTTTCAGTTTTCCTTTCCTTTATACTTGCAAATGATCAGTGACTGTTCAAAGAGCTTACTAAGTTAGAAATTAAAACTAAGAGCTTGAAAAGTTTCAGTTCACTTAAAAATAAACCCATTGCATGATATCATAAATAGTATTTTTCGACAGGCGTGTTGGTGCATGCCTGTAATCCCAGCACTCCGGAGGCTGAGGCAGGATCGCTGTAAGTTCTAGACGAACCTGGGCTACAAAGTGAGCTCAAGGCCAGCCTGAACTGCATAGCAAGACCCTGTCTCAAAAAGACCAAAAAAAAAAAAAAAGTGTGTGTGTGTATAGTATTTTTATGAAAATAACATTTTCCAGAACAAAATTAAAATAGAAGAGAGAATTGTTTTATAATGTTGCAGTTCACTTTAATGTTGGCTTAATAGATGATAGCGGGATTCTTGAATCTTTGTGTGCATGTATTTTTAATTTATTTTTTTTAGTACATATTTGTACTGCATATTGATTAAATTTATTAAGGGGAGCTGGTACATGTACGTAACACATTTTAATTCTTTTTACCTTCTCTTTCAGTGTTAAACTTAAGCATTGAATTTGATTTGTTTTGCATCCAACTCAGTTTGCAACCAGAATCGTAGAAAAGTTTATGAACCAAGGTACCAGTGTACCTAAGTGTGCTCTATGAGCTAGTATGTTCTATTTTGAAGAAAGTACCATTTGATGCTGAAAAGAATGTATATTCTGTTGTTGATGGGTGGGATACTCTAGATATTTACTGAGTTCTTTAGTTCAACTCTCATATGTTTTGATTTTTTTTGTCTAGTTAATCTATTTGTGGCAGTGGGGATCCCCCATTGAGATCTTCCATTATAATTATACTTACCTGGTTTTTTACATCCATTTTAAAAAATATACTTGGGTGTACCAGTATTCAGTGTGTATATATTTACGACGGTGCATGGAATAACATACAGGCTTTATTCCTGAGTATGGTGACTCACTTGTGCCCAGGGTACAATATTGAAGACTCCCAACACAGGCAACAATTGCTTGTTTTCCGCTCAGAGACTGAGAACCAATGGGCAGGTGGAGAGGGAGCACCTCCCATCCTTGGTCACTCCTTCCTGGTGTATGCTGGTAAAAATGCCATCAGGCTATAGCCTCCTCTGTGTTTGGAGAGGGGAAGTGAGGCAAAGGGCTTGTATACCCCAAGTCTATCCTGTGTGGCCCAAATGGAGGTGGTAGATCACTGGGAATGTACTTTTGGAGGGTCTGTCTATCTCTTTCTCTCTCTCTCTCTCTTTCTCTCTTTTTAGTTTATTTAAGTTGATTGGTACAGTTTAGGTATACATAATGATCAGATTCATAATTTATATCTGTATATGATATATCTTGATTCTTTTTGCCATTTTCATCCCCACCTTTCAAGCCCCCTCCCCACTCCATTCACAAAGCCTCATTTTAATTTTATCCTTCTTTTCTTGTGTTTTCTTTCCCTTCCTTTGTTTCCCCCGCCCCCTCCCCCAAGTTCCCTTTTCCTTTTGAACAGTTTCTTCCTATTTCTCAATCTCTGTTGTACATTTTTCTGCATATTTACATTATCACATTCTCACACCAGAGAGAAAATGAGATGTTTACACGTGTGTTAAATTTATTTATTGTCTGAAGATGCATCTGTTTACCTATAAATGTTTCAACTTTATCTTTATGGCTGAGTAATACTACGTTATATTAAAAAATCACATCTTTTTATCTGTTCATTGGTTTATGGGCATTTGGGTTACTTCCAATATTTAGCTATTGCAAACTGCGGCTATAAACATGGATGCGCATATATTGCTGTAGTATGATGCTTTTAATTCTTCCAGGAAAAGACTCAGAAGGGGAACAGCTGGGTCAAATGAGACTTCTAATCCTAATATGTCGAGGAATTTCCATACTGATTTCTACAGTGGTTTCCCCAGTGTACACTCCCACCAATATTGGAAAAGTGTTCATTTTTTCTCCACAGCCCCACCAGCATTTGCTATTACTTGTTTTCTTGATGAAAAAGGCTACTAATCCTAGCCTTTCTTTTTGGAGTGAGAGAGAATCTCAGTGTGGTTTTAATTTGGATCTCTCAAATGATGAGTGATGTTGAACATTTTTTCGTATATTTGCTGTTTGTACTGAGACATCTCTGTTCATTTCAGATGCCCATTTTTGTGTTGGATCTTTAAATTTGGAGAGTCCAGTTTTTTTATGTTCTAGATATAAGTTAATGGGGTCCTTCTCTGGGTTTGGTATTGCGATAATGCTTGCTTCCAGGGATGAATTTGGGAGTATTGCTTCCCTTTCAATTTCATTAAAGCATTTGAGAAGTAGTGGTATTAAGTCTTCTGTAAATGCCTTGTAGAGTTCAGGAGTGAGTCCATCAGGGCCTGGGATTTTCTTTGTTGGTAGGTTTTTAATTAAATCTTCAATTTCATTGATTGATACTGGTTTATTTAGAATTTTTATGTCTTCTTGATTCACCTTTGATAATTCATATGAATCTAGAATTCTGTCCATTTTATTCTGCATTTTCCATCTTACTAGAATACAAGTTCCCTAAGTAGGTATCAATAGTCTACTGGATTTCTGCAGGATCCATTGTGATTTCACCCTTTTCATTTCTAGTTGCATGGATTTGAGTCTTTCTTTTTTCTTTTATAAGATTGGCTAAGGGTTTGTTAGTTTTACTTAATCTTTGAAAGAAGCAACTCTTCAATTCATTGGTATGATGTTAGCACTTCAGAGAGGCCAGGTTGATGGCTTTCAGTTGTCCCACCTCATTGCCTCCTGAGTTTGCCTTTGGTGAACAGAATGTCTGGATTTGCATCTTGCCTAAGTGTCTTCTCATTTTCTTTCTCTCTTTTTTTTTTTTTTTTTTTTGTTGTTGTTGTTTGTTTGTTTTTAGTTCAATTCCTGGGTTGATGTTTGTAAATCACTTACTGAGAGTTGTTTTATTGCTAGTATTTAGAACCCTTAGGAAATGACTACCTCTCCAAGGTATCTTCCAAGCGTAGCTGGCTTTTGGGTTTTTTGAGATTGTTGCAAGTTTCTACCTCTTTAATTTACTGAAGAATAAGAAGTTGCTGCCTACTTGGCCCAATCCCTGGTTCTTCGGCCCTGGCCTATAGTATTTTTCATGACCCTTAAGCAGACTCAGTCTTGGTATGTCAGGAAGAAAAGCTGCTTAGAACAATTATGTTACTTTGACTAAAGTGGTGCAGTCAGCAATTAGAATAGCATCAAACACAGCCTAGAAAATGACAAACTAAGGATTAATTTGCCACATCTATCTATATGAACTAGATTTGTGGTTATATAACAAAATTTAAAACAAACCAGAAAATTGTGTGCAGTAAACAAGCCTTCAGTATACCAGTTTTACATTCAGAGGAGAAAATTTTAGAGGGGTTGGGGAGAAAAACTAGAGAAATACAAGAGGAAGAAATTACAAGCAAGGCTAGAGGACAAAGGAAGATCGTGCAAACTTTGGGAAACTGGTGCAGAAGACAGGAGGGAAAGAGAAGGAAGAAATAAAAGGAAGTATAGAGCAGTAGAACAACCACCAGAAAACTAGAAACCATGTTCACACTCAAAAACAAAATCAAACAGTGAAGAAACAAGAAAAAAATAGAGAAACAAATGTCTCTTTCAAGGTTTGTCTCTGCATTCACTGGTAGACACCATGTGGAGACAGAGTCCAGATCAGTATTGATTTATCCCAGCAAGCCATCAATAGCTGCGTGGATGGGTAGTGGATAATCTCAGCATGCCTACACATTTATTTCCTCTGAAGTTCAGGCTGGTTTCTGTCTGTGAGGCTGGAACCAGACCTGTTCAGCAGTTAGCACACCTTCTATGGGCTTGAACTCAACTGGGAGCCACTAGAGGGAACCAGCAGTCATTCTGAGTTCCAAGTTCAGCTGGCCCCTGTCCAAGATGGCTCCTTGCCAGTGGCTCTTTCCTGTGGGACAGCCGTATCAGTGCCACTCACCAGCCAGTGTAGTCCATGGGGTGCACTTACCTGTTGTACTGCTGCATCACTCCATGGAGGCCCCTGGAGTTGCCAGCAGTCACTCTGTGTCTACAGATTTGAACTGCTTCTCCTACACAGTGAGTCTCACTCAGGGAGAAGGCACTGCCCACTGTCTCCTTCTTCGTTGATGTTTCGCTCTTTGCTCTCCCTCTGGGCTTCAGTTCTCATGACAGATCCTTCCTGGGTCCAAGGGACCCACTTCCCTCTTTGTTCTCTTCCTTGTAATGCATATTCCAGTGTCTGGACAGCAAATCTCAGGCTCTTTTTCTGTCGCTTACCACTCCGCCATCTTCCTGGAAGTCTTTTTTTCCTGTTTTGATAGGGTACATGTTTCTCATACCCATAAATTTACCACATACACTCATGCAGTAGAATGTATTCCTAATTGTGAATGGTTTTTGAATATCAGGATAAGAAATAAATATTAAATAGATAAAAATAAAAGGCTAATATAGCCAAGTGTTACCCCTTATAAGATAATGGATTATCTTGCTTACTTAATGTGCCTCTAGAAAAATAATGAATAGACAAAATTTCAAATGTCCTTTTATTATGATTTTTATTGCTGTATCAATTTTTCTATGTCATTGATTAAGATGAGTTTTTTGTTTCTCTTATAGATTTGGGACCAATAAGCCTTAATTGGTTTGAAGAACTTTCTTCGGAGGCTCCACCCTGTAATTGTGAACCTGCAGAAGAATCTGAATATAAAGTCAACAGTTATGAGCCAAGTCTATTTAAAACACCACAAAGGAAGCCCTGTTATCAGTTAGCTTCAACTCCAATAATATTCAAAGAGCAAAGTCAAACTCTACCACTATACCAGTCTCCTTTAAATGAATTAGGTGAATACAAATTAAATGTGGATAACTATGTGATGTAGTAGATGAGGGGAAAACATGAACTGAAAATTCAGGCAAACTTATTTTAAAATCTCTGTCGTGTTGCGCAGACAATCTCTCTAGCCTTACCTTCTTTTCTTGAATAATGGTTGATCAAATAATACTCAGTAGATTTGGATTAAGTAAAATAATCTAGATACTTAATAAATGTTCCTTTTCCTCTCCTTTGATTAATATATCCTGGCAACTGAGATTTATTGAGTTATGTCTTTATAATAAAAAACAGGATTTGATTAGATGTTGATTAAACTATATTTTGCAGTCTATAATAGGGCAGAGATTATTTTCATCAATTGGCTATAAATATCTTAATTTGTAAGTTTCCCTAGCCGTCATGCTACCTATTTTCAAGCAGTTAAGTAATAAGATTATATATTTCCTCATTCAAATATTTGTTGCCTGCTTGACATAAGTAATGTACTTTCCCTTTGTGTGAAGTATTACTCTCTGGTAAGGGGAATAAGTATTACAGAGATAAAGTACAGTGCTGTATATGCTTGAGTGTGGTATCTGCCAAAAGAAGAGTAAAAAGTACAGTGAGAGTTGAGAGGAAAGAAAACGGTGTTGGGAAAAGTTACGTTTTCTTTATATATATTGTTACCTGGGCCCACAACCTCCTTTCTTCTTCCTACCTTTTCTCTAATTTATGCATTCATCTTCCAGATCTTGGCTTAAATATCTCTGCTTTTGAAAAACATTCCCTGTCTTTCCCTACTGAGTTTCTAGTGAAGGAGACATACATAAGCAATTTTAGTGTGATGCATGCTTTGAAAGGAAATTAATGGCACTAGGAGGTACACATATGAAGGGAACATAGGTAATAGACAAAGTTTTTTTATATAAAATTGAATTTCAAGTGGTATACTTAGTATTTGGTAAATATTTGAAGTATAAATATTTATTTTAGAAAGTCTAGTAATCTAGAAGCCGTCTTTGGAAATAATTTTTTTCAAAATGTGATGCCTAGATCATCAGAATCTTATGGAGTGCTACTTGAAAGGGTAGATTGCAGATTCTATGCTGAATCTTTTGAATTAGAATCTCTGGAAATGAAGCCCAGACCCCCATCCCCCACCCCTCACCCATACTGCGTATCAAACCCAGAACCTTGGCACTGAATTATCGAGACAGGATCTTACTCAGTTGCCTCGGCTGGGCTCAGATTTGGTGTCCTCCTGCCTGAGCCTCCCAGAGTAGAAGCCCTACCTCTTAAACTACCTGGGTATTCATAAAAGAAGATTGGAGATGGGGAAATGAGTTGGGCTGGGGATGGTGGTACATGCCTGTAGTCTTGTGGCTATTCTGGCTGCTGAGTCAGTAGGACTGCAAATACAAGACCAGCCTGGGCAGCATAGCAGTGTCCTGTCTAAAAATAAAAAGAGCTGGGGATGTAGCTCAGTGATCCTGCGTTCAATCCCAGTACTGAAAAAACCCCAGGAGGGTCAATTAGGAAACACCTAATGTTCAGGTGATGAGGCCAAGTGGTTGAATTAGTATAACAGTCCCTTCTTATTCATGATTTTAGTTTCCTTGGTTTTATTTAGTCAAAGTCAATTGCAATATTAAGTGGAAAATTTCAGGTATAAATGATTCTTAAATTGTGTACCATTCTGAGAAGCATGATGAAGTCTTGTCGTTTCTCATTATACCCTAACTTCTTCTTACTTGGTAGCTGTCTCAGTTATGCAACCTGTAGTACAGTGTTGCTTGTGTTCTGGTAACTCTTAAATAGTAGCCTCATGCTATATCCTGATGCCTGCATCACTTCATTCCATTTGGTAAGCATAGTATCCACTCACATCACAAGAAGGACGAATGCAGCTCAGTAAGATGATGGAGAGCACACATTCACATAACTTTCATTACAGTATCTGTTATAATTGGTCTAATTATAATGTTAATCTCTGGTGTGCCTACTTTATCTTACATGTATGTGTATAGGAAAAAACATAGTATAATAGGCTTCAGTACTCCCTGAGCTACAGGCCTCCACTGAATCTTAGAATACATCCCCAAAGGATAAGGGGTAGCTACTACTATAATAGTGAAAATAGATATTGAAGGTAGAAACTGTAAGACCCTGTAGTAGCCTAGACGTGGAGGAATGAAAAAGAACAAATGACAAGGCAGAGCATAAGTAAGTTAAAATATGGTGATGGCCGCCATAAAAATTGGAAACACTTGTAAACTGGAAGAAAAGCAGTCTTAGAAAGGAAAAGGTTGAGTCTTGGATTATATTTTGAGACAGTAGTGGAATGTTAAGGTGAAGGTATTTTCTGAGGTTTAAGGAGTATAAGGCTAAACCTAGGGAAAATATAGTCAGGAGAAATTGTAATAGCAGTCAGGAGAAATTGTAATAAAAGTAAACTTTTTTTGGAAAGTGAAAAAGTCATATATAGTGAGACAATTATGAGGTATAAGATAAAGCTTTAAGGGGTATTTAGGAGATGCAGGAGAGACAAGGACAAAAAAGGAATCATCCCTTCAACAAATATTCAATGCTTATGCCTGGTGGCTTGCTAGCATTAACAATACAAATGTGAATGAGATAGTGTTTCACCTTTAGGTAATCAGTCTTTTAAGATAGAAAACCAGACATGCTGGTGTGATATATGATATTAAAAGCAAGTACAAAGTGCTGTGTAAAGTGAGTAGCTATCTGTAATATAGTAAGGAAAATTTTGATAAGTTCTTTGCTGAACCTACTACTTTAACCAGTGGTTAATTATTTATTGTAACCTGTCGGAACTAGCTTGTCTAACCAGGGAAGAATAGAAATGAATTAGTAAGGTCACTCTGAACTCACTTGCAAAGTAGTTAACTTTTTAATTTATAATGTATTAATAATTTCTAGACACTTCTTGCTTTTATTTTAAATTCATTACTGAAATGTGCAAGCAGCAAACTTAACACTTTTTTTAACCTTGTTCATTTGTAACATACAATATGTGTATTACATACTGTATATATTTTATTTGTTTGTTTATTTGCTTTGTGGTACTGGGAATTGAACCCAGGGCCTGTGCACTGGAACTACATCCACAGCCCTTTTTATTTTTTGAGAAAGGGTCTCAATTGCCTAGACCAGATTCAAACTTGTGATCCTCCTGCCTTAGCCTCCCTCAATACTGGGATTCATGTACTATCATGTCTGGCTAGCAATAATTATTTTTTAAAATAACATGTGAATTATTTATTATATAAATAAGGGATAGTTTATTTTCCCAAAAGTTCTTTAAATTAATGATTGTAGGATCAGTGAAAGCAATTTCATTTTTTCAGTACTAGAGACTGAACCCAGGGCCTTCACAGTGAGCTTCATCCCCAGCATTTTTTTTTTTTTTTTGGATACATGAGCTCTCTAAGACAGTAAGTTGCCCAAGCTGGGCTTGAACCTGAGATTCTCCTGCCTCAGCTTACAGGCCTGTCCCATCCAAGCCTAGCTTAAAGCAACTACTGTTAAAAGCACTTTTTTCTAAGAATTATATTAAATGCCTTGGGTGACAAAATTGTAGGCACTACCAACCAGTAGAACCACTTCAGTACTTTTTGCCCTGGAAAGTCAAATAGAGTACCTTATGGGAAAACAGGAATATTGAAAGACTACAAATAGGATTTGATATTGATAGAGCTAACTACAGCTTTGGAAACTGTTACTGTCTTAGAAAGTAAAAGTGTTTGATGAGAATAGAAATACACTGCTATCTACAAGTTTCTGTAATTATACTTAATTGATTTAGCCATATATAGTGACCATAATATATCAGGCATTATTTTTTCTAGGAATTCAGTGATAGGACATAATCTGTGCCACAAGGAAATCACAGAATAATGGAGGAAATAGGAGCATCTTACGGTAAACTATTCAGGGAACACACAAAAAGGTCAGGCACCTGTACTTACCATAGGGTACACTAAATGCTTCAGTAGGAAGTAGTTTCTAAATGAAGCCTTAAAAAGGATTGTCTAGGTCAAGAGAAAAAGAACAAAAAAGAAACATCTTGTACAAAGTCCTGTAGGTTAAAGAGAGCATTTCTCCAGGATGTGCAGTGGTTCAGTAGAGCTGAAAAGTAAAATGTGAAAAAATGACACCATAAAAATGAAGAAATCAAACTGGGTTAGGATATAGCTTGGTGGTCATGTGCAGTGCCCTGGGTTCAGTTCCCAACATCAAAACAAAACACCTCATCAAATCAAAGACTTTATTACTGCACAGTTTTGTTACAGTGTTTGAACTTGATCTTGGAATAGGATCTCAACAGAGTTTTTTCAGCCGTAGGGTGACATGGTAAGATTCAATACCTTAGTAGGTTTTCAAATATTGTCTTTTGCATTACTATTACCCTCTGTAATACTCCCTGATACCATACTACTGTCTGTAACTTAATAGGAGAAGGTTTCATATTCTACTTTCTATTCCGCTTGTGAGTATTTCAAAAAATTTATCATACTAAATTATGAACTCTTTGAGGTAAAAGCTTTATCTTAAATTGCAACGTTACCTAAAGGGACTTAGGCATATTACATGCTTGATATGGTTGGCTGGGAGGGGCATCCCTTTGGGGCAGGGGAGGAATAGCTTTCCATGAATTCTTCCTAGTGTAGATGAGACTTTGTTTTTAAGTACAAAATTTCAAAATTAAGAGCATAATCATTAATTGTTTCAGGAAAGGATATTGCCAATAGTGAACTTAAAAGTCGTCGCATAATGAAGGCTAATGTGGACCAAGCAAATGATGTTGCCAGTCCACCTCTAAATTCTGGTTTCAGTGAAAGGTATGCTGAAGCTATGATACTAAAATATTGAAATGAAGCAGATCATGGTGACACACACATCTAACCCTAGCACTCGGAGCTAAGACAAGAATTGCAACTTGGAGCCCATCTTAGGCAACTTAGTGCAACTGAGTGAGACCATGTCTCAGAAAATAAAAATATAAAGGGCTGGCGATGGAGCTCCATGTGGAAGCCCTAGGTTCAGTCCCCAGGACTGGAAAAATTAAGAAGAAGCATTTTCCTACATATATTTGTTTCATGGAAATGAATCTGATTTTTATCCTAATATTTATGACTGAGTGCTTGGTGGAGAATCTTATATTTTTAAATAATCTTTCAGGTTGTCCTTTAATTGAATAATTTTTATGTTAGAAATAATTTGTTTTGTATTTCTTGTAATGTTGAATTGTCTAGTTTTCTCTGTGTTCTATGGCTTTCCAAACAACAAAAATATTAATGGTAAAGCACTAAGTTCCTTGAAATATCAGTTTGAAATAAATTTTTTATGTACTTTGAGATTTTGGAGGGGACATGATGCTATTACACATTTATATTACTTAATTTTTCAGTTAAAAATACAGTTTCTGGTAGCTAAAATTTGTGAGCACTTTTGCTTTCAGTGGGTGTTTTAAACATCACTTAGTAGCCTACTTAATTCTTCAGGAGATTTACTTTTGAGAAAGTAACATGAAAATATTTAAAAGTACTGTAATTCTATCAAGGATGATGGAGAGTCTTTTGGAAAATAAAATTTTTATTTTCTTTTGGCCATTTGTTACTTGTTTAATAACCTAAAGGATTTGTCTTGCCTTAGTCCTCTTGTTCTACGATGTACACGGATAACACCACAAAGACAGAAGCCAGGTATGATTGAAAACAAGGGCTTTTATTTTTAAAATCATTGAGATATTAATAAAAATAAATTTCAATAATTTCTCTCTTTTCACCTCCAGTGATATGTGGAAGTTTATTTCATACACCCCGGCTTGTGAAGGTAAGTATTTTGCTTGGGTTTTTTTTATGGTGTATTACTTAATTTGACAGCGATATCATACCTTGCTGTGAGACTTACGGATCTGTATATAGGCATTCAGTAATGAAAAATGAAAAAATATTCTTTATCATCAGTGTGTTTCTGTGAAGTAAATTGTTGCCTTTCTTTCTAGGGTCAGACACCAAATCATATTTCTGAAAGTCTAGGAGCTGAGGTGGATCCTGATATGTCTTGGTCAAGTTCTTTAGCTACGCCTCCAACTCTTAGTTCTACTGTGCTCATAGGTAAAAATAGCAAATGTGAATTGTATGAGAAAAGATAGATGAGACTAATCAGCTGTTATCTCTAATGCTTTTTGTTAAAATGTGAAAAGAATATTAGATAATACTGTCTTTGATAAGTACGTTGGTTCAGAACAATTTTATTGCATTTAATGTAAAATGGAATAATTCATAAATACATTAAGTGCTTTTTTTTTTATTTTAAAGAGAAAAAAATAAAACAAAATTTCAAAACAAGACAATAGGAGAGTAGGGCCAGGTGTGGTGATGTATGCCTATAATCCCAGCACTCGGGAGGCTGAGGCAACAGGATTGTTGTGAGTTCGAGACCAGCCTGGGCTACAAAGTAAGCACAGGGCCAGCCTGAACTGCATAGCAAGACCCTGTCTCAAAAAGACAAAAAAAAAAAAAAAAAAAGAAGAGAAATTAGTAGTATAACTATCTTAAGTATCGTTTATATATATATGTGTGTGTATATGTATTTTTTTTGCTTTTCCCTACCTTTTCTCCATTCTCCCATCTCTCTCTTTCCTTTTGAAGTTTCTTCCCATTTTACAATGTCTGTTGTACATTTTCTATCTTACTTACCTGTCAGTTTCTCATATTAGGGAGATAATACAGTGTTTATACATGTGCGTCTAGTTTATTTCACTTATGAGTATGGTCTCAAGTTTATCCTCCTTTTGGCTGAGTAGTACTCCATTGTATATAAAGACCACATCTATTTTATCCATTCCTTGGTTGATGGACATTTGGATTGTTTCCAAGATCTATTACAAATTGTGGTGCTGTAAACATGGGTGCACATATATCATTGTGGTATAGTATTTTTAATTCTTCTGAGAAGATACCCAGAAGGGGAATAGCTGGGTCAAATGTGACCTCCAATCTTAGTTTTTTGAGGAATCTCCACACTGATTTCCACAGTAGTTGTACCGTCTACACCTCCCACCAAAAATGGAGAAGGGTTCCTTTTTCCCCCCACAACCCTGCCAGCATTTTCTGATGGTTGATTTCTTGATAATAGCCATTCTTTCTGGGATGAGATGGAATCTCAGGGTTGTTTTAATTTGTATCTCTTGAATGACCAATGATGTTGAACACTTTTTCATATATTTGCTGTTTATATTTCATCTGAGAAGTATGTACTCAATCTCAGATGCCCATTTTGGGATTGGGTCTTTAAATTTGGGAGGTCTGATTTTTTTTGAGTTCTTTATATGTTCTTGATAGTAATCCTTTTGTGAGGAACAGCTGGCAAATATTTTTTCCCACATTGTGGATTTTCTTTTCACTCTGCAGGTAGCTTCTTTTGCTGTGCAAAAGCTTTTTATTAAGATGAGATCCCAGGGGTTACTTTCTGTTACAGCTCCTGTGTGATTGGGGTTTTATTCATAAAGTCTTTGCCTATACCAGTGCCTTCAAGAGTTTTATCTATTCTATTTTCCAGCAGATTTAATGTTTTTGTTTTAATATTTAGATCTTTGATCCATTTCAGCTTTAGTGCATGATGAAAGATATGGGTCCAGTTTTGATCTTTGGCATGTGCAGAGCCAGTTTTCTCAGCACCATTTATTAAAGAGGCTTTCTTTCTTCTGTTGACATCTTTGGCACCTTTGTCAAAGATAAGGTGGCTGAGTATGTCTGGAGTTGTTTCTGCATCTTCTAATCTGTTCCATTGATCTTTGAGTCTGGGTTTTTTCTTTGCCAGTACCACACTGTTTTTATCACAGTAGCATTGTGGTATAATTTCAAGTCAGGGATTATGTTGCCCCCTCCCCTTGCCTTTGTTACCCAGAGTTGCCTTTGCTATTCTAGGTCTCTTCTGGTTTAAATGAATTTTAAAATTATTTTCTCTAATTCTGTGAGATATGCTATTGGAATTTTGATTGAAATTGTATTAAATCTGTATGATTTTGAAAGTATGGGGAACAAGGGATTTTTCCATTTTCTGATCTCTTCAATCTCCTTTTTCAGAGGACTGTAGTTTTTAATGTAGAGGTCTTTTACATCCTTCGTTAGATTGATTCCTAGGTATTCCATTTTTTTGGATGCTATTGTGAAAGGTGTTGTTTGAATGTTGACTTTGTATATCCAGCTATGCTACTGAATTTGCTTATTGTATCTAGCAGTTTTTTAGTGGAGTTTTGGGTGTCTTTATGTAGAATATCATGCCTTCTGCCTATAATGATAATTTAACTTCTTCCTTTTTTATTGTTACTCCTTTTATTTCTATCTCTTGTCTAATAAGTTTCCCAGACTACACTGAATAAGAATGGAGACAGTGGACATCCTTATCTAGTTCCTGATTTTTAAAGTGAAAGCTTTCAGTTTTTTCATTCAGTGTGATGTTGTTGGCTGTTGGTTTGTCATAGATGGCTTTTATCAGATTGAGATAAACACCATCTATTCCAATGTTCTGTAGGGTTTTTTCATGAATGGATGTTGGACTTTGTCAAAAGCTTTTTCTGCTTCTGTTGAGATGATCATGTGAGTTTTGTCCTTTGCTCTCTTTATTTAATGTATTACATTTATTGATATGCATATGTTGAATCATCCATGAATCCCAGAGATGAATCCCACTTTGTCATGGTGTATTATCTTCTTGATGATTTGCTGCATTCCATTTGCCATATCTTATTGAAGATATTTGCATCTGTGTTCATTAGGGAGATTGGCCTGTAGTTCTCTTTCCTAGTTGGGTCCTTCTCCAATTTTGGTATCAGGATAATGCTTGCTTCCAGGAATGAATTTGGGAGTATTGCTTCCCTTTCAATTTCATTAAAGAGTTTGAGATGTAGTGGTGTTAGGTCTTCTCTAAATTTCTTATAGAATTCAACAGTGAATCCATCAGGGCCTGAGCTTTTCTTTGTTGGTAGGTTTTTAATTACATATCCAATTTCATTGATTGATACTGGTTTATTTAGGATTTTTATATCCTTGACTTAACTCTGGTAGTTCATATGTATTTACAAATATGTCCATTTCTCCTTTATTACAAGTTTTCAAAGCAAGTATAGATGATCTGGATTTCTTCAGGGTCCATTGTGATTTCACTCTTTTAAGTCCTAATTACATGGATTTGAGTCCTTTCCTTCTTTTGATAAGGCTGGATAAGGGATAAGCATTTTTTGATTTTATTTAATTCAAAGAAGCAACTCTTTGATTCATTGATTATTTTTTTGTATTTTTTTTTACTTTCTAATGCATTAATTTCTGCTCTGATCTTTATAATTTCCTCCCTTGTATAAGCTTTTGACTTAGCCTGCTCTTCTTTTTCTAGAAGTTTGAAGTTCCCTATTAAGTTCTTTATGTGCACTTGTTCTGTTTTCCTGATATGGGTATTCACTGCTATTAATTTCCCTCTCTGGACTCCTTTCATTGTGTCTCATAAGCTATGGTATGCTACATTGTCACTATCATTTAATTGTAGAAATTGTCTAACTTGTTCTTTAATTTCATCTGTGAATTATTGGTTGTTGAGGAGGGTGCTATTTAATTTCCATGGCTTATAAAGTGCTTCAGGTTTCTTTTGCCATTGATTTCCAGTTTCATTGCACTATTGTCTGATAACATGCATGGGATAATTTCAATTCATTTGATTTTACATAAGGATGTATAATGAGCTTGTACAATTCATCAGTGAATCCATCAGAATCTGGGCTTTTCTTTGTTGGTAAGTTTTTAGTTATATTTTTAATTGTGTTGACTGACAACAGGGTATTTAGAACTTTTGTATCTTGATTCAGTTTTGACAGTTCATATGTGTTTAGGAATCTGTCCATTTCTTCTGTATTTTCCATCTTATTAGAGTACAAGTTCTCCAAGTAGGTATTGATGATCTGGATTTCCACAGGATCTGTTGTGATTTCACCCTTTTTGTTCCTAATGATGTGAATCTGAGTCTTTTCCTTTTTTTTTTTTTCTTTCTTTCTTTTTTTTTTTTTTGGTACAGTTGGCTAAGGGTTTATCAATTTCATTTAATATTTCAAAGAACCAACTCTTCAATTCATTGATTCTTTTTATTGCTTTATTTGTCTCCGTTGCATTAATTTCTGCTGTTTATAATTTCTTCTCTTATACGATGTTTCCTTTTGATTTGTTCTTCTATTTCTAGGAGTTTGAGTTCAACATTAAATTTTTTATTTGAGCTCATTCTGTTTTCCTCATGTGAGAATTCAGTACTATAAATTTTCCTCATACAACAGCTTTTGATACATCCATAGGTTCCAGTATGTTTTAATGACAGTATCATTTAATTGTAGATACTGTTTAATTTATTCTTTAATTTACTCTATACTCCATCAGTTGTTCAGGACAGTGTTGCTTAATTTCCATGTATTTATGTAGTTCTTGTGATTTCTTTTGCCTTTGATTTTCATTTTCATTGCACCATGGCCAGATAATATGCTTGGGATAATTTCAGTTCCTCTTCACTTACTTAAGCATGTTCTATGAGCTAATGTGTGGTCTGTTTTGGAGAATGCCCTATGTGTAGCTGAGAAGAGTGTGTATTCTAATGTGGGGTGAAACACTCAGTTAACGTTTACTAAGTTCATTTGTTCACTGGTTTGTTTTAGTTCTGATGTTTTTTGTTGATTTTTTATCTAATTGATCTATTTGTGATAGTGGGTTATTAAGGTCCCCCATTACAGTTGTGTTAGTGCTTATGTGAGTTTTCATGTCAGTTAATTTTTTTGTTTGTAGATGGCTGCACAATTATTTTTACGTATATATTTATGATTGTTATCTGTTCTTAGAGTTTTCCTGTCAGTATTTCCTGACCTTCTTTGTTTCTTTGATCAGTCTTGGATTGAAGTTCACATTGTCTGCAAATAGAATAGCTACTCCTGGTTTTTTCTGGGTTCCTATCATGTGGAACATTGTTTTCCATTCTTTGACTTTCAGTCTCTGAATTTCTTTTTTAATTAAGTGTGTTTCTTGTATACAGCATATTGTTGGATCTTATTTCTTGATCCATTCCGCCAGACTGTCTTTTGATTGGTGAACTGAGACCATTAACACTGATGGTTATAACTGATTTGCATTACCTTAGCCTTCTTACATTATTTTCCCCTTGTTGGATTACATGTCTTTTGTCAGTGTATAGTCAGTTTCTGTCTAGGTTAACAGATCCTGAGAACGAGGTGTGGCGTGATAAAAAGAAAAACAAGAGAGACAAAGTTATGGGATCAGGGGGCTACAACGTCTAGGGCTGAAGCCTCAATTACAGTCTTCTTTAGCCTTTTATTGGGATACAGACAAAAAGCAGCAACAGGGGAAATGGGAGGAATCATTAACAGGATTGTCAAGGACAATACAGCCTAATTATCACAGGAACTAAACTCTGACTTAGTTAGCTATCATGTTGTCATTTCTTCAGGCATATCTCAGCAAAGCATCTAGTGTTGTCCCGGTGGCTTTCCATAAGGACTAAGATCCTGCTATCATTTCCTTTTATGCTAATGCTTTTGCTAGACTTCCTCCCGAATCAAACAATCATATGGCTTGGTCAGGCTCAAAGTCCCAAATAGGTGTTACATTGAAAGGTAGACTATAGAATGTCCTTCTCCACAGTCTTTTCCCCTGTTTAATTGCTTGCCCTGCCTGGTAACTTCTTTTTGTTCATGTTCTTGTAATGGCAGTCTTCATTTTCTCTTAGTAAAAGAATCTTCAGAGCATATTGGAGAGCTTATTTAGTGTTCATGAATTTCTTCAGTTGTTCTTTTTCATGGAAGTATCTTATTTCTCCATTAATTTTGAAAGACAATTTTGCAGGGTACATCAAACTGGGTTGGAGGTTATTTTCTTTTAGGGCCTGAAATACCTCCCTCCAAGCTCTCCTTGATTTTAGGGTTTGAATTGAGAAGTCTGCTGTGATTCTGATTCTCTTTCCTTTATTGTGATTTGTTTCTCTTTTCTGATCCCTTTTACGATTCTAGTCTTATGCTGAATTTTTGAAATCTTGATTACTATATGTGTTGGGGTAGGTTTATTTTGGTCATGGCTATTTGGAGTTTTATATGCTTTACTTATTTGTATGTGAAATTCTTTATCCAAGTTTGGGAAATTTCCTGCCATTATTTTTGTGAAAAGTGCTTTTATGGCATTTGTGCTGTCTAGAGCTTTCTCATTGACTCCAGTCATTGTTATGTTGTTCGTCTTTGCTTCATCTTGTAGCTGTTGGATTGATTTTGCATGGTCCCTTGCTGTTTTTAATATGTCTGTCTTTTTGTGGTCACTAGCTGCAATACTCTTTTAGATCTGAGATTCTATCCTTGCCTTTGTTTAATCTGTTGCATATACTTTCAGCAGAGTTTTTCATCTCCTAGATATCTTTCCTGTTTCATGAATTCTGTTTCTTTCCTATGTTGGGTATCCATGGTTTGCATCATTTTCCTAAGCTCTTCTATTTTTTTTTTTTTTAACCTATCTGCTCTAACGTCTGGCATTCTGATCATTTCTTTTTTTACTTAAGATAATTATTTTTTCTATAGCCTCATCCATTTTTTTTTCACTTCTGATGTTATCATTTCAGAAAGTTTCAGCATGTGGCTTCTGGTTTCTTCAGTCTCATGGTGCTCTGAACCTGTCCTCAGTGGTCTTTCCATTTTCCTTCTGTGTCTTGTCATTTTCCATTTTCTATTTTTTATTTTGTTTTGTTTTTTGTGTTGATGTTTGTAGAGGAAATCCAGTCAAACAAACAAAGAAAAAGAGGGGCTGTAAAATTCCTCTGGAGCCTACAGTTCTGTGGTAATGTGCAAGTCACAGCTCAGAAATGTGCTGTGTACTCCAGGCAAGTTTGCCATAGGGTTTGTGGGGTATGTGGCTGATCGTGGTCTCTGGATGTAGGGGCTGGGGCTGGTCTGTTGCTGAAGTTCTCCCCAAGCCCTTTGATACAGAATGGTGGCCGTGCCCTGCTTCTGTTCCACATGTCTGTGTGCTGGAGCACAATGCCAGTTCACCTAACTTACCAACTGCTGGCTCGTATTTTCACTGCTGGTTTAGACTTTTCCACGCACTGGTCCTGCCTGCCAGTGTTTGGTCCCGCCTGCCGGTGTGCCCATTAAGTGATATTCTGTTTTTTTTTATTTTTCTTTAAATTTTATTTTAAAGAGAGTAGTGAGAAACAAACAAACAAACAAAAAGAACAATAGCAGCATATCAGTATCACAAACATAAACAAACCAAAGCAAGAACATTTAAAGTGATACAGGGTTTCAAGACAAAATAATACAAATTAACAGTGGTTGTTATATTACATATCCCTATCCTCAACTATGTTGCTCAGATTACCAGATGTAAGAATGGAAGATTGTTCAAACCATTAAAGAGAATAAGAAAATAATTATTAGATAAAACATTAGAGATAATACAGAGTTTCACTAGACAAGATGGTAGGAATTCACCATGGTAATTCCATTGCATATTGTTACCTTCGAATCAGTTGCTCAGATTACCAGATATAAGCATGCAAAATTCAAGTGATATTCTATAAAAGGGCTGAGCATTACATTTTAGCACTGTGCCCCTAATCTATAATAGCTTTATAAAAACTCATTTGCCAGCACATATTAAGCATTTAAGAGCTAATGTTTGACATTAACTATGAAATTTTTACAGATAATTATGATACTTTGGGCATTAAAATAAACTTGAGTAAATTTTGTTTCTTTGTTTAAATCTGATGTGCAGGTCTGTATTGCCAGTAGCACTCAATTGAGGTTTTAAATTTCACAACTGTAATTATACATCTGTGTGGTTATGTGAAATATTTAATTATTCACTTATTGAACTCTGCTTAGCTCTGTAAAGGCTGAGTATAGTTTCTTGGCCCTTAGTTGGTATTCAGCAAATTTTTAAGCAAAAGAATATATTTTATGTAATTCTCTACTACTGTTTAGAATGTTGAATAAGTAGGTAGTAGTTTCATTAACTTACCAGATCTAGAAGTATTTATTATTGTAAAACAACTTAAAATCTCTGAGTAGCTGTGATTTGGCTAATCATGACTTAATATTGAGAGGCTATGATGACTTCTTTTTAATTTTATAATATTAAGTAAACAAGTAAGTGTAAAGAAGTGTCTGTAAATGTAATTAAATACAATGGGAACAGGAATTTGGAAGTTCATCTAAATAAATACATCTCAATTTGTAGGCACGACATGAAAGATTGAATAATAATAGAGAAAAAAGTAAATACCAATGACATTGCTCTCTAGGAGATACTGAAATAAATCACTGTTTTTCAAATTGCAGAAAAATATTGTAGTTTACAAATTAATTATGAATCTATACCTTTTCTTTCTTTAACGAAGTATAAAGAATTAAAAAAGGAGAATGCTTCACGTGTAGTTAGGGTTGTCATAGTTAGCAAGTGAAAATACAGTACATCTGGTCAAATTTAAATTTCAGGTACACAGTAATTTTTAGTGTGTTATTTCAGACATACTCATTTATTGTTAATCTGAAATTCAAGTTTAATGAGATGTATTTTAACCCCCCTTCCTTACACATAGTAAAATTTGCTTTATAACACTGTTTCTTATGTATGTATACAAGTACAGAGTCATAAAATACATATTTATTATTGTGGAATGTACTGAAAGCATGAGTTTGTACCCAAAACCAGGAGGGTTTTTGTTTGTTTGCTTATTCTAGCAAAATAAACATTCCATTTTGATTCATCTTTAGCTGGGAGTGATTTAATTTTTTTTATTGCTTACATGAAATAATAATAAAGGTAAAAAGCCTTTTGTCTACTATGAATCATTTAATATACAGTGTACTTTTAAGCTGTATTATTTTCTAAATAAATGCTCAAGTCTCAAAGCTTTACCTTTTTAAATTGTGACCTTACAGCTTCATCTGATTTTCCAAGTGATTTAGGACAGTATTATCATAAAGCTGGGATCAATAAGCCGTTATTTCTCAGCTTTCTCATGAGTGTTATTAAGGAAGTGTAAGTAAAGCCTATTCATTGACCTTTCCAGTTACTATACTTGGGCCAATTAACTTTATTTCAGATGTGTCATTTAATTAAATACTACAGGTACTTTATGATTTCTGACTAAAAACTAATATTCTAGTGTATGAGAAATAATACGAGTGGAATTTTTATTTTACAGCCAGAAATGAGGAAGAATCTGAAACTGTATTTCCTAATGATGCCTCTGTGGTGAGTAAATACATTAAATTGATCACACTGTTGAAATTGAAATTCCCTGTATTTTAAGAATGCCTTGAGTTTGAGGTCATCCTGGACTCCATAGTGACTCCAAGGCAAACCTGGACAACATAGCAAGACCCTGTCTCAAAAAGAAAGAAAAAAAATACTTCGGTAGACCATTTGTCCATAATTTTCATTCTCTAATTTATGTTATACCTAAACCTTTGAGAAAGTCTCTAAACCTGATCTTTTATGTAATTTCTTTGACATTCTGCAAAACTCTGCTATCACAATGTTTAAGAATAATCTGCATATATATGTGCATTGAAAGTATTTATACTAGTGATATTAAAAAATGTTTGCAGATTTTGAAGCACTGTTTGTCTAACCATGATGAAAACCTAAAGAAAAATGATAGATTTATCCCTTCTGTGATAGAAAATGAAAACAAAAATCAAAGAGAAGCTAGTCATCATGGTAAGTCTTTTTAATTGAACTTATTATGTTAAGGAGGGCGGGTGGCAGTTCTGATGCTCCAACCAAAGGCCTTACACTTGTTAGGCAAGTACTCTACAACTGAATTAACAGGACCTGCTGTCGGGGCTGGGGATTTAGCTCAGCGGCAAAGCACCTGCCTGGCAAGTGCAAGGTCGTGAGTTCGGTTCCTGGTACCGGAGAAAAATCAAAAAAAAAAAAAAAAGAGGACCTGCTGTCAACTACTGTTTTTAACTGACGTAATTGACCCTTTTTTCTTTATAGAGAAAACATGTATTTTCTGTCTTGACTGTTTAAGTTAAGATACTGAAGGTAACAACAAATTTGACTTAGATGTCAGTATTTAAATATCATACTAACACAGTGTTACTCAATCTGTTGTAACACAAAAACAAAACTGTTATTTTGCAGAGATAAGACATGTTTAACAAACCATGGGGGTTTTTTTTTCTAATTAGAAAGTAAATATAGTTGTGGATCTACTGAAGGTTACAGCTATTGTGAAATACTGCATTTTTTTTAGTATATATGTGAGCTTTGATTGTTCAGAGCTGGTAAAAGAAGATTATTAGGGATTGGAATATGAATGAAAGGCTTGGATATGTTGGGATCAGGCCTTACCAGAAAAATAGGGGAAGGTGATTTGTGGAGGAAAAAAAAAGTTAGCCCTCAGAATAACCTTTAAATACTAAATTGTGTTATTTAGTATATATGTCTTAGGTGGGAGTAATATATAAATTATGGCTGTATTATAAAGTATTAACATGCCTCTTTTAAATTTTAACAGGATTGGGGGAAACGGTAGGAAATTCATTTGGTAAAGTAAGTAGCTGCAAAGATCACTTTGGAAGGTTAATGCCAAATCCCCTAGAAGATGAAGTAAGTGAAACAGTCACGGACATTTTTGAAAAAGATAGTTTTTCATTATGTTTTTCTAAGTATAGAACAGGAAATCTACAAAAAACAAGCAAGACTAGGAAAAAAATTTTCCATGAAGCAAGAATTGATGACTTCACAGAAGAAGCTAAAAAACGCATGAAAGAAAATAAACATTCATTTGCATCTGAAGTGGAACCAAATGATAGTGATCCTTTAAGTTCAAATGTACCAAGTCAGAAGGCTTCTGCCCATGAAAGTGACAGAATCTCCAAGGAAGCTGTACCATGTTCAGGCTGTAAATGGTCTCAGCTAACACTCTCAGGTCTAAATGCAACCCAGACAAAGAAAATACCTTCACTGCCCGATTCATCTTATGCCCAAAATAATTCTGAAAAAGACATAATAGATAGTGAAAAAGAAAGTGCAAACCATAGTACTTCAGAAAATTCTTTGCCACATATTTCTAGTTTACCAGAAAAGATACCAACTGGCAAAAAACCTGGGGGTGAGAGAGATGAAGGGCAGCATCTTGAATCTCATGAAGGCTCCGTTCTTGCAGTGAAAGAGGCAGTATCGGGGACTTCTCCAGTAACTCCTCTATTTCAGGGTATCAAAAGGTCTATATTCAAGATAAGAGAACCATCTGAAAAGACTTTTAGTACAGTTTCTTCAGATAATGTGATCAATCCAAACTTTAAAGAAGAAACTGAAGCCTTTAAAAGTGGGTTGGAAATATATACTGTTTGTTCAGAAAAAGAGGATTCTTTATGTCTCAGTTCCATTGATAACGGAAGCTTGCCAGCCTCTGTCACACATTCTTCTGAAACTTTGAAGAATACAGGTTTAATATCCACTTTGAAAAAGAAAACAAAAAAGTTTATTTATGCTATAAATGATGAAGCATCCTGTCAAAGAAAAAAAATGCAGAAAGACCAAAAAGAAGAACTAACTAGCCATTCAGCCCAGTTTGAAGGAGACACTTTTGAAGCATCACTTACATTTGCAAATGCTGATGCAGGTACCATTTCTTGTGATTTGTGTTTTGTTTTGTGTTTTGTCAAAGTGTACATATAGTTTTATGGGTTGTGGTAAGTTCACTTATTTGACTGTGTTTCTTTAGCCTTTTTAAAAAATACACTGCCTGCTTCTGTAGGTTTGGTTTGGTTTTTTTTTTTTTTAGATCTTTATATCTTATATTCAGAATCAAACTTACCAAATCAGTTTGCACAGTATACATATTTGGTTTTGGGGGGTTTGTTGGGTTTTGTTTGTTTGTTTTTGATGTTTGGTTTGGTTTGGTGCTGCTGAGGACTGAGCCCAAGGCCCAGACAATTTGCTCTACCATGGAACTGTATATCCAGCCCCTATTTCTTTCCTTTTGAAACAGTCTTGCTCTATATGCTCAAGCAGTCATTCTTCATCAGCCTCCTAACCAGCTGGGCCATTACACCTGCCTTCATCACTGCTAAGACAGATTCTGACTTACAAACGTGAAGAGCATGATTACTTAATTCCTGCTTTAATTTAAAAGTGCTTATTATGTGCAAATTAAGCAACTTTATGTGGTGCTATTTGCTATATATTTTCTGTAGAGCATGAAAAAATAGAGAAGCTAATTTCTAATTAAATTTAATATAAGGCAGTCCTAAAATAATGATTTTTACTGTTGTTATATAGTCTTCTTAAGTATTTAGAGGTTGCTTAGAGTTACTGCTCTATCTCTGGGTCTCCGGAGTATGAACAGTGAAAGTCATGTTTTGTTTTTGCAACAGTTTAGTTTAACAGTAACTAAATTATGTGTTTAAAAAGAGGTTTAGAACTCCGGCATAGTGCCACTCACTTGTAGTCACAGCTACTTGGGAAACAGAGGCAGATGGATTGCTTGACTGCAGGAGTTTAAGGATAGCCTGGGAAACATAAACCTCATCTCAGAAGGAAAAAAGATGAATTTATCTATCTATGAGAAAATGTTAATAGGTCGTAATGGTAGTGAATAGGATCGGTGGTACTGGAGTACAGAGACTATTTGAAATTTGAGTTAAATTTCCAGAAAAAAGTCTGATTTTTTCTTTCTTTCTCGTTTTCTTTCTTTCTCTTTCTCTCTTTCTTCCTTTCTTCTTTTTCTATCTATCTACCTATCTATCTGTCTATCTACCTGTATATATACATATCATAGTTAAAGCTAGTGAAGCAGTTAGTATCTTGAAATCACTGGTTAAATGAAATGAAATGAAGACCTTTGACTTATTAATTGGAAATTGGAAGGATAGAGAAAAAAATTAATAGCAATTTCACTCATTTGCCCTTATAACTGACATTAGGTCATCTTTTGAGGCCTTCTTGCATAGACTCTGTTTTTCTTTTAATTATGTTTTTTCAATGCAAAAAAACTTAACTGCAGGAAACTTTTAGTATTCTCATTCCCCTGCCTTGCTTTTCTGTCTCCTACCATACTAGTTTTGGCAATGAAGCTTTTTCCAATTTAATTTGCCAATAAAAATTAAGGTTTTTTTTGGAAATTTGAGTTTTATTTATGGTAGCTAGCTGTTTATTTAAACTAGATTAGATAAACTAGATAAACATTGTGGTGATGTGTTATTTTTTTAAAATACTGAAGCCCTCTTTATCTTTGGCTAGAAAATGCAGTACCTTCACGATAGAGAATATGTAGAATTCTGTTTTAAATCTGACGCTTTTTGTTTTTCATGTAATTCTTGTTTTAAGCACTACTTTTTTCACGTAGTAGAATATTTAATGAATGTGATGGTGCTTTAATTTTATTTTGTCTTTTTGTGTTCTTATGTTTAGGTTTCTTGCATTCTTCTGTCAAAAGAACCTGTTTACATAATGATCCTGAAGAGTCAACCTTTTTAACCAACTCTTCTGGGACAAATCTGAGAAAATGTTCCAATAATGAAAGTAGTTATGCTAATACAATAATATCTCAAGATCTTAAGTATAAAGAGGCAAAACTTAATAAAGAAAAACTACAGTCACTTATATCCCCAGAAACTGACTTTTTGTCATGCCTGCAGAAAAGACAGTGTGAAGATGATCCAAAAAGCCAGAAAGTTTTAGATATAAAGGAAAATGTCTTGGTTGCAGCATATCAGCCTGAAGTTCAGCATTCAGAAGTAGAATATAGTGGTATTCCATTTCAATCACAGAAAAGCTTTTTTGATGGCCATGATAATACCAACCCTCTTATATTAACTCCTAGCTCCAAGGATCCTCTTTCAAATCCAGTTCTGATTTCTAAAGGAGAAGAATCATATAAAATATCAGAGGAACTAAAATGTAAGAATTGCCACACTGGTATTGAATTAGCTGAAAATAATTTCCTTGAAAAAAATCAAGAAATGTGTGTTTTAAGTGGAAATTATAAAAAAGTTGAGCTGTTGCCACCTGAAAAATATATAACAGCAGCATCACCTTCAGTGAAGATGCCATTCAACTATAATACAAAGCTAACAGTAATCCAAAAAGACCAAGAAGAAACTTCTGTAATTTCAGAAATGACTGCCAATCCAAACTCTGAAGACCTTTTCTCAGGCAGTGAGAATAATTTTGTCTTTCAAGTAACTGATGAAAGGAATAGTCCTGTTTTAGAAAAAACTAAGGAAATTCATAGATCAGGCTTTACTTTTATGAAAGAGCCCTTTCTCCAGAACTCTGCCATGGTAGTGAATACAGACATAGGTGAGAAACAAGCGGTCCAAGTGTGGATTACTGAAGATTTTGACCCATCAAATACAATACACGATCTTAAAGAGAACAAAAATAGTGTAAAGCACCATCTTACTTCAGGTCAAGACCTGAAATCAAATATCTCCTTGGGTGTGAAACCAAACAAGAATAATGATTACACACACAAAATGACAGGGGTTTTAGATCCAGCTTTGAGTCACAGTTTTGGAGGTAGCTTCAGAACAGCTTCCAATAGAGAAATAAAAGTCTCAGAACATAACATTAAGAAAGGCAAAATGGTCTTCAGAGATATTGAAGAACAATATCCTACTAGTTCGGCTTCTGTTGAAATTGTAAATATCTTATTAAATAGCCAAAATACATTTAAAAAACCTCATGTGTTTGATTCACAGGCAGCTAGTACTGTGTCTACCTGTGACCAGAGTAGTGGATCTGTTTTTGATTGTGAAAGTAACCATCCAGCCTCCCGGATGTTATCTCCAAAGCAAGATTTTAATTCAAACCATAATTTAACACCTAGCCAAAAGGCAGAAATTACAGAACTTTCTACTATATTAGAAGAATCAGGAAGTCAGTTTGAATTTACACAGTTCAGAAAACCAATCCACTTACTACAGAGTAATACACTTGAAGTGCCTGGAATCCAGATGACTGCCCTAAGTACCACTTCTGAGGAATTGAAAGATGTTGATCTTCATCCTGTAATTGATGCCTCATCTATCAGTCAGGTAGATAGGAAAAAATTGGAAGGAGCATTTGGAGAAAAACAAAAGTTTGCTTGTTTGTTGAAAAACAATACTAACAAAAGTGCCACTGGTTTTTTAACAAATGAAGTAGAGTTTGGAGGTTTTTATTCTGCTCTTGGCATGACAAAACTGAATGTTTCTCGTGAAGCTCTACAAAAAGCCTCAAAACTGTTCAGTGACATTGAGAATATTAGTGAGGAGACTTCTGCTGAGGTAGATCCAAGTTTCTCTTCAAGTAAATGTTATGATTCTGTTTCAGTGCTTAAGATAGAAAATCATAACAGTGATAAAAATTTAAATGAGAAAAACAGTTGCCAACTAGTATTACAAAACAATGCTGAAATGACTACTGGCGTTTTTGTTGAAGAAAATACTGGAAATTGTGTGAGAAATACAGAAAATGAAGATAACAAATACATTAGTGCCGGTGGAAATATTTGTAAATTGGGAAGATCTGGTGGCACCAATTCAAGTAAGGATGATACTGTTTGTATTCATAAAGATAAAAGTGATTTGCCATGTAATGATCAGCACAATATACATCCTAAATTATCTAGCCAGTTTATGAGTGAGGTAAACACAGAACTTAAAGAAACTTTATCAGATTTAACTTGTTTGGAAGTTGTAAAGGCTGAAGAGACGTGTTATATTAATTCAAATAAAGAATGGTTAACTACAGGTGAGGTGGAGCAATATACAAACAACTGTGATACATCCTTTCAGACTGCAAGTGGGAAAAATATCAGAGTCACCAAAGAGTCATTAAATAAAGTTGTACATTTCTTTGATCAAAAAACAGAAGACTGGAATGACTTTTCAGATTCCTTAAATTCTAAATTACTTTCTGGCATAAAGAACGAAATGGACATTTCAAGTCATGGGGAAACAAATATGAAAAATAAAGTATTGGGAGAAAGTACCCCAGCTGGTACTGGAACTCAGTTGAGTCACCTGCAGCAACCTGAATCTCAAATAAAAAATATCGAAGAACCTAACCTGTTGGGCTTTTATACAGCTAGTGGGAAAAAAGTAAATATTGCAAAGGAGTCTCTGGACAAAGTGAAAAATCTTTTCGATGAAAACCAGCAAGATGTTAGTAAAATTACCAAATTGAGTCAGCAAGTTGGAATGCCCCTACAAGACAGAGAGGACTGCAAAGAAGGGCTTGAATTGGCATGTGAGACGGTTGAGATAACAGCTATCCCAAAGCATGAAGAAATGCCCAGCCTAAGTAATAGTATACACAGACAAACTGAAAATCTTAAAACATCAAATAGTATCTCTTTGAAAGTTAAAGTACATGAAAATGTAGAAAAACAAATAGTAAATCCCCCTACAACTTCTTGCACAAATCAGTTCCCTTATTCAGCTGTTAAAGATTCGCCTTTAGCATTTTACACAGGACATGGTAAAAAAATTTCTGTGAATGCGGCTTTACTCTTTGAGGCAACAAAGTGGCTTAACAGAAAATTGGATGATGAACACGAAGAAATGAATACTGCTAAGGTTGTGTGTGTAAAGGAATATTCTCGGGATGATGTGAGAAATCCTTCAAATAAAATTAGTTCAAGCAGTATCATAACTGAAAATGACAAAGTTCCTCTCTCTGAAAAACAAAATTTAACTCATTTGAGTAACAGTAGCATATCTGACAGCTGCCATGCTGATGTTTGTCATTCTGATGATACATATGATGATTCAGGCTATCTCTCAAAAAATAAAATTGATTCTGGTATTGATTTAGTCATGAACGTCAAAGATAAAAATAGCAGTGGTTTTTCTGAAGTAGTATCCTCTATGAAAGAAGTAAACACATCTCCACAAGCCATAAATGAAGGTGTTTGTGTTCAGAAACCTGTGACTAGCTCTTCACCAAGCAAAAATAAAAACACAGACATTAACTTGACTATATCTGATTCAGATAATTTTGAGGTAGGGCCACCTGCATTCAGTACAGCCAGTGGTAAAATGGTCTTTGTTTCACAAGACTCAATTAAGAAAGTTAAAAAGATATTTACAGACAACTGCAATAAGATAATTAACCAAGACACTGAGAATAAATCAGACACTTGCCAAAGAAAAATTGTGACAGCTTCTGATAAGGCATTGGATAATTCAGAGGATGTTATTTTTCCTAACTCTGTAGATGATGAATGTGTGCATTCATGTAAGAGTTTTGCAGATACTCAAAGTGAAGGTTTACATCATAACAAAAGCATGTCTGGGTTGCAGATAGTTTCTGAAAGACCATCTTGTGTTAGCCTGAAAGCTTCAGATATATGTAAACTTAATAATATAGGGAAGCTTCCCAAGTCAGTCTCTTGTACAGATGTTTGTGGGATTTTTAGCACAGCAAGTGGAAAATCTGTAGACGTATCAGATGGTTCATTACAAAAGGCAAGACAGATGTTTTCTGAAACAGAAGATAGTGCCAAGCAACTGTTTTCCAAAGTATTTAAAAGTAATGAACATTCAGACCAATTCACAAAAGAAGAAAATACTGTAATGCATACCCCACCAAAAATAGTATCACCTCCAAAAAACTTCCATCATAATGCAAGTTCATCTGCTTTCTCTGGATTTAGCACAGCAAATGGAAAACTGGTTTCAATTTCAGAAAGTGCCTTACACAAAGTTAAGGGAGTGTTAGAGGAATTTGATTTAATAAGAACTGCTTATACTCTTGGGCATTCACCTTCATCTAGACAAGATGTATCAAAAATGCCTGTTTGTATTGATAAGAGAACCCCAGGAGACTTTAAAACGGAAAAAGACTACAGCGATGAATTTAAATTATCAGGTAACTGTAATACTGAAAGCAGTTCATCAGAAAGTAATCACTCTGTTAAAGGTTCTCCCTGTCTCTCTCAGTCTAAGCAAGACAGACACTTGGTCTTGGGAACCAAAGCTTCACTTTTTGAGAACACACATCTTTTGAGGAAAGAACAGGCTTTCCCCCAAAATGTAATGGAAATTGGTAAAACTGAAACTTTTTCTAATGACTCTTCACAAACAAGTGCAGAGGTGTGTTCTCCTTATCCCAAAGAACAAAAAAACTACTTTGAAACAGAAGCAGTAGAGATTGCCAAAGCTTTTATGGAAGATGATGAGCTGACTGATTCTGAACCACCAGGTCATCCTAAGCACTCACTTTTTACATGCCAAAAAAATGAGAGGGTTTTGTTAAATCCAAGAAGGGGAAAAAGAAGAGGAGATGCCCTTTTTTCAGTTGGTAAGTATCAACTTTTACTTTTTGGTTTGCCAATCTCAGTCACAATAGTCCTGGTGTTCTAGTGATTAGAGTGTTGTAAGTTTATTTATTTTATTTTTTAGGGTTTTACGTATAGTTTGAGAGTATGATTTGATTCTTGGTATCTCAAGTTTGTGCACTAAAGGTCATGTTTTAAAGTTCTCAGAATTTTTTTTGAGATTGTTAGTACAGTTAGATTTGAGAAATTACTGTTGAAAGTTTTTTTTCTAGAAAAGATGATACTTTTATATAACAGTCAGCATAGTACTTTCTAACTTTTCATATAGATTCAGTCTTGTTCTTTGTTGGTATTTAGTCAAACCATGTACTCGGTAATATATGGTACTTAGTCATACTATTTATTTAGCTTCTGTGAGCCAGTTTCCATATCTATAAATGCAAACACCGCCTCCTTCGGTAAATGTGAAGAGAAACTAATGTACCTAAAGCACTTAATACTGAACCTGGCACATAGTAAGGAGAGAGCATTCAGTAGATATTAGCTTACTTCCTTTTTTTCTATCTAAAAATGGTTAACAGGGGCTGGGGATTTAGCTCAGCGGCAAAGCGCCTGCCTGGCAAGCACAAGGTTGTGAGTTCGGTTCCCGGTACCGGAGAAAAACCAAAAAAAAAAACAAAAACAAAAAAAAAACAATAAAAATGGTTAACATTAGCAACCGGTATTCTCATCTTAATGCTATGGGGACCATATTCTCAATATATGTCTGAAAACTGAGTTCAACTGTTAGGATAACTGGGTGTGTAGGGATGTTTCCTGGTAGTCTCTGGCTATAATTTTAAATTACTAAATCTGTTGATTAGTTACAGTTAAAGTAAATGCCAAAACTAAGTCTCCAACTCTTACCTAGATAAGTTAAATAACTAATTACTTTTCGATACCCAGAGTCATAGAATATTTTCATTACCAAAGTCTTGTCCAGCCCCTTCTTATTGCAGAAAAGATCACTGAAACCAGGTAGTTCATTGATTCCTCCTGCTGGATACAGATTTACTTAAGTGCTATCCAGCTTACATTCTGTGCAGAGCTTCATGGGCAAGTAGTAAGTTTGTAATACTTACCTGAAGCTATCCGATACCCTTTAGTACAAAATTCAGAAGTGTATGTACTTAAAAGATATCCATAATTCTTTTGTGGAAAAATAATGGCTTTATAGCAACCCATTCTGTTTTGGGTGTGTACTGAAGTTGCCTTCCATCTAGAAAAAAATCAACTGACTTCTAAATAGTCTCAACAGTGTTACTATATAATTTCTCTGACTTCTATTTTATATAAATATATAGCTTACCAGCTTTTATTTGAATAGTGCGTGTTCTTTTTTGAACAATTAAAGCCCCGAGAAAGGATTCTAATGACCCAATAAAGGCTTCCATGGACATTTCTCCTTATTAAATCCTACAAATTAATTCCCTATAATAAACTATCAAAAAAGCAAAGTACGTGCTACTATATATCAGCATGACATGGAAATGTATACTTTGAGTGGTGATTTTATCTTAGCCTCTACAAGCCGTCTACCACTGAGCTGTATCCTCGGCCCCGCATTTTTAAATAAGGAGTGCTATAATTACTAGTGTCTAGGGATGTAGCTCAGTGGTAAAGCAACCTCTTAGTACGCGTGAGGCCTGAGACTCACTCACCAGGACCACGAGAGGTGGAGACAGAAAGAGGAAAAATAAAGTTGTGACTGTTACTAATATTTAAATATGATTTGGTAATTTAAAAAATACTCTCCTACGTACTGACTGTAACTCATAGACCTATATAACAAATTCATCCTTGAGTTGATGTCGTCCCAGAAAAAGTCAGTTTGAAGAAATGTTGTTTATCCTTATTGTCAGGACTTAGAATTATACTCAAGTGCCCCTTTTTTAAAAAAAAAACGTAGCTTGGGGGCTGGGGATTTAGCTCAGCGGCAAAGCGCCTGCCTGGCAAGCGCAAGGTCGTGAGTTCGGTTCCCGGTACCAGAGAAAAACCAAAAAAAAAAAAAAAAAAATTCCCGGTACCATAGAAAAACCAAAAAAAAAAAAAAAAAAGTAGCTTGTCACTGGGCAAGGTGGCCCATGTGTGTAATCCCAGCACAGGAGTATCACTGTGAGTTCGAGGCCAACCTGCACTACATAGTGAGTCCCTATCTCAACACCCCCCCCAAAACAGTAGCTTGTCTTTAAATGATCAAAAAGTGGTAGAAATTAAATTGTTACTGAGAAATAAATTTTCTCTTTTAAAAAGAATGGTCACTATTTAAATATGTATTTTTATTTAACATTGTAAAAGTCAGTATTTTAACTTTTTAAGTAGACTGTAAGTTTTTAAAAATGAAATTGGTACAATTTACAAACATTTATGGAAATTTCTTTTTAGGAGAATCCCAAATCAAAAGAAGCTTGTTAAATGAATTTGACAGGATAATAGAAAATGAAGAAAAATCTTTAAAAGCTTCCAAGTGCACTCCAGATGGTATAATTTCCTTTTTATTCATGTTTTCCCTCTATAGGTACAATGTGTTATATTCTTTTTTTCTCAGTTTTTTTGTTGTATATCTTGGAAAGGATTTTATAGTACAGTTTAATTGTAACTTATTATATCTTGACTTGCTTGTTAGGTGGAATTTTCCTTCATAATACCTAGTCTGATGGTGAGATTGCCTATAATTGGAAAGTTTAAAATGATTATAAAATAATGATTTTTTAATTTTAAAAAAGCTGTAAGAATTAAGCTAAAAGTACTGTAGCATAATAAATTAAAGGCCAGGTTCTAGACTTCAGTCAGGTTTTTGACCAGCATTCCACCAAAGTTAGCCTTCTCTATGTCACGCAACTGTCTCCGTGTTGCCAAACCCAGTGGACATTTCTCGATCCTTACTTGGCTTCTTGTTCCAGACACAGTTGATCACTTCTGCAGCCCACTATGATCTTTCACTGCTTTTCCTTAATGGCTGCTCATGTGCAGTTTTTTAAAATAGTTCTTCCTTATTTTTTCTTTACTCTAAACAAGAACACCTCAGGGATCGTTAGGTCTGTTCTCCGCCTAAGCTTCAGTGACTACCAAAGTTATACTTGCTGCCTTAGGCTGAGGTTGAGCATTAGCCTGAACTCTGGACTTCCATTTGCCTGCTTGATCATCTGTGCTTGGGTTGCTACTGGGCGTCTCCAAGTTACGTGGCCGTTGCGGAACTCCTTATTTCAGCCCTGCTCCAAACTTGTTCTGTTGCCTTTGCTTTCTCAGTAGAGGATTGTGCCGTTCTGCCCTTTAATCATATCAAAACCCTGATAATGTCTTGTACTCTTTTGGTTCCTCATCCTCTGTATCTAATCCATCAGTAAGTCCTGGAGGGAGGAATATTTTGAGAGGGATTAATGATCGTGTGTCTTTTATTGTACAACATTTTCTTTTATCAAACACTCATTGTATTTTTTTATTATAACACATACCCAAAAAGAGAGAAACATATATAGTATATGAGTATTACTTAATATCTGATACAATTTAATTTACAATAGTTCTCCTACCTTGGAAATTTTTTATTTTATTTTTTAAGGTATCAACACTCTAATGTGACCAGGCCATTTATTTTGTAGACTGTCACACCTTCTGGATTTGTTTCCTTTTGGTATCATTTAACTTATTGCTCTGTTTCCTGTTTGGATGGAAGACTTAATTAGGATTATACAATTTTGGCAAAAATGTTTCATAGAAGAGCTTTGTGCATGTATTGCATCATACTGAGAGGCAGAAAATGTCAGGTGATTTGACAAGTTGGTCCACATGCTAACTACCAGGTCATTTTATTGAAAGGTATATTTTCCCATTTGCATTTAGCAAATGATCTACGCAATGATACTTTGGTACTTTGAGGATGTACTGTTTATACAGTACTGTAGTCTTTTACTCAGAATTTTAGCATCCATTTGCCTGAGTCAGTTATATAATGGAAGGTTGAAAAACTAGTTTTCACGTTTTTTGTTTGTCTTTGGTGATAACTGAGGATTGAACCCAGAGCCTTCTTACTGAGTCACATCCCCACTCCTTTTATTTTTTATTTTGAGGCAGCATCTTACTAAGTCACCCTGGCTGGGCTCAAACTTGCACTCCTCACACCTCAGCCTCTCAAGGTTCTCACATTTTTTACTTTTCATATATTTGCTACTCACTATTCAGCGTGGAAGAGCTTTATGTTAACAATGTGGGATGAACTATATTTCTATCTAAAAAGGCAAGATAAATGCTTAATTATTTCCTCCTAATAATAATTTTTCAGAATGAGGAGTAAGTTATATAATAGTCACTATTAATGGCAGCAAATAATTTTATTTGTTGAATAAAATTTCATGAATTTTTATTTATAAAATACATAAAATTTATAGGCAGTTACACTGTAAATGTGTTTATTTAGAAAAAGGAGACATGCTTTTTAATGTTCAAATTATCCCGAATTTGGAAGTGGAAACCTGTTCAATTTCCCAAGGTTTTTTCTTTTTGTTTTTAACATACCCTGATTAATCTTTGAGCATGTCTTGCTTTTTGTTATTACAAAAAGATTTTGTACAATCTTTTTGTATTAGTACATTTTTATAGTTCATAGTGTTCACATTCCTTGTGGGGAATTTGTACATGTACATAATATATCTTAATTCTGGTTTTTTTTTTTCTTTCTCTTCTTTCCCTCTCTCATCCATCACTTGATTTCACCCTCCCCTCCTTTTTCTGTAAATGTTTGCAGTACATTCCTGGCGTGGAATCAGCACGTGTACATAACACATCCCAGTTCCCTCTGTTCATCCCCTTTCCCTCCCCTCCCCTCCCTTTTGATCCCTTTCCTTTTTTAAAAAGATCTACCTCCCTACATCCTATTATCTTTTATGTTGCTCTTTACTGATGCTTTGGCTTTCTCATGTAAAAAAAACCTATCCTACCATAGTGCTGGGATCAGCCCTTTCTCCAAAGATCCTTTCAGTAATTAATATTTTATAAAAACCAAGATTTGGATGCTAGCCATGCTATTACTGCTGATGGTGTTACTGTTTTATTTGCATTCTTGGTTCTTCATAAAACCATTTTTATTTTGCTTTATGCAACAGCAGTAGTTTTAAAGCTTTTTTTTGAAGTCTCAGGACCTCTTTGTATTCTCAAAAATTATGGAGTACCTAAAAACATTTATATATGTGGATTATATCTGTTGCTATTTATCATATAAGAACTTAAAGTTGAGAAATTTTAATATTTGTAACATTATTCATTGGTAATTTGGAAAATGTCAGTTTACTGAATTATGCAGATCTTCCAACAGCTGACAAATTTTATTAGACCATATTGAGCACCTTTGTTATTGACATCACTGATCTAATCTAAAAAGTCCAAGTATTAAGAAGCTGTCAAGTTTATAGCCAGATATTAGTGCCCCCAAATTCTAACCTCTCCTTTAAGAGCTTGAATTTTATATCTGGCAAAAATATTGCCACTTCTTTTCCTTGCAGTGCTAAACTCATTTCATTCACTTTTGAAAAAATATCTGCTAAATACCCACGTCTGAATAACTATAGTTTGTTGGCTGTTCTTTCAAGTAAAAGTGATAATTTTGTGAAGAAAAAAAACAGTAGTTAGTTATTCATGAATGTACATTTTCTTGAGATAATGGTTACACTGATACAGCAGAATATATCACTGGAGAAAATATTATTTAGCACAGTAAAAGGGACATATATAACATCTTAGTAGTAGTATTAAAACAGTTCGACAACTTGAATCATCTAAAGGACTGGGTACTCCTCAGAGTTTCATAGAGAATACCTTTGAGAATCACTGTCCCACAGTACTGTATATGCATACAGTAGTTTCAGATTCACAGTATCAATTTAAGCTACTAATGATAAACCTGCTAAGGGAAAATGAAGAATTCTTTGCAGTTTTTCCTCCTTCGGATATATGTCATTTAAGAATATACAGTCAAAATACTGTATTCAGATGTCAATCAAAATCATTCCTTAAAAAAAAAAAAAAAAAAAAATCATTCCTTAATATGTGCTTACCAGTTTGATACAGTTCTATTTTTTTTCAATTTTAGGATTTTTTTTTTAATTGAAGCTTACATTTGAAAAAATAAAACATTTACAGAGTTCAGTTGTAAACACTATAGAAAGATACCCTTGGAGACGTTTTGGTTCCATCCCTGTCACTCCATGATATTCACCAGCTCTCCCACCTGTCACTCACTTTTTTTAGTGGTTTCCAGTTTATCTTTTTAGGATTTTTTTTTTTTTTTTTTTTTTTTGGTAAAATAAACATATGTATTTTTTCTTATGGCCATAATTGTAAAATAAGCAAATATGTATATATAGATATGGATTCTCGTGGTCCTTTCTTATTCAAAACATATATATTGTTTTATACCTTGTTTGTTGCCATTTACTTACAATTTTGTTTAGGGATCACTTCTTAAGTACGTAATCTTCATTTTTTTTTTTTTATGGTTGCATAATACTCGATCATTTGGTTATATATTAATATATTTTAGTTTATTCAGCCAATTCCCTATCACTGGGCTAATTGAAGGCTTACCAGGTATGAATTATATACTGAAGATTAACAGACTTAAGGCTTTGCCTTTAAACCTTGATGAAAATAGATTTTAGATTGATATTTTCATTGATAGTTAACTAACACCTTTGAGTTGTACTTGTTAACATCAGCTGGCTAAATTTATAACTGATTTACATGTGTGTACAGAGTTATTTGCTATGTAGTCATTATCAATTTGAGAATCAAGTATTTCTTTTGTTAATTATTTTCTGTGTGTCCATGAGTGCATTAAAATTTTAAAAATATAATTGTCTCAAATTTTTGTGTGAATATTTATGATAGTATATGTTATAGACAAGTAGAAAATAAAATCTCCCATTAGACTTTCATTATTAATGTCGTTATCTTTTCTAGGTACAATAAAAGATAGAAAGCTGTTTATGCATCACATTTCTTTACAGCCAGTTACCTGTGGACCCACTTGGTAACGTGTTTAAATTATTTAAAAATTCTACTGATGTTACAAAATTACATTTTTTAAAAAATTAATATTTCTGAAACCAGTGGCGCAAATCTACACTAAAGAAGTTAAATTTCCTTTTTTGAAAGCCTGAATCGGGATTAAAAATGTAATATTTTGGTAGTATGTTACACTACTGTTCATACTGCTATTTTACTTTTCAGTTTCTAGGCAACTTTGCAAAGTAGCACAACAGATTATATTCTAATTTTATCCTTGATATACTAAGATTGAGATGGATTAAGGAAATACTGTACTAAAAATCAATTAATAAAAAGATGGCAGATGTTAAAAATATTTGAATCTCTTTTCTCTCTCTAAACCTTACTAAAATTACCAATAGAATTTTTAAACCCATAATTCTCCAGGACACTATCAAAAGGAAGAACAAGAGTTTAGAAGCCAAAAACATGAGTGATATAGTAAGCTTGAGAAAGCTAAAACCCAACATTAGAGCAAGCAGAGAATCTACCCAGTTTCCCCTGAAGAACCTAAGGAAAACTCAGATTGGCAACAGCATGTACTTCCCATGGTAGAGAAGAAAATAGTGAGATTAGTTGAAATTCTGTTTAAGAAGCATCTGTATCCCCTTCCCTACTGCTGATGGGCATTTATTTCTTCAGAAGGCGAGAAGTTTATTTTATAGAGAAAATGAATTGGAGTTCTGATTTGGGTATGGGTTAGGGAAGGGGGACAACTGAGGAATGAATAGTGAAAACAGAAATGAAGTAAAAAATGAAGTATGGCAAACCTTGAGAATTGTGATGTTTTGGAATGGCAACTACAATGAATACAAAACAATTACCAGGATAGGATGGGTCTGCATGTGCACGCAGATTTATATGAGCACATTTGCTGCTAAATAATCTATTTTCTTTCCAATGTAGCAAAAGTAACGACCAGCAAGAGATCCAGAACCTAAATTTCATTGCACCTGATCAAAAATTTCTGTCTAAATCTCATCTTTGTGAACACTCGACTTTGGAAAAATCTTCAAACAGTGTACCAATTTCAAGACAGCCTTTTTATAAAGTTCCTACTATAAGAAATGAAAAAATGAGATACTCAACCACTACAGGCAAAGCAATGAAAGTGTTTGTTCCACCTTTCAAAACTAAATCATGTTTTCACGGAGATGAATATTGTGTGAGCAAGGATATTAATTTAGAGGAAAACAAACAAAAGCAACAAAATAGAGATGAATATGGCTCTGGCGGTAGTGAAAATAGTGGTACTGACAGTGAGATTCATCAGCTTAACAAAAACAGCTCCAGTCAAGCAACAGTCCACATTTTCACAGAGTGTAAAGAACCTTTAGGTATTGTAAGACAATTTGTATGACTGTTTTTTGCCTTTGGTTAGATATTTATCTTACTAAATATTATGACCTGAGGAGTGTCTCCATTTTGTGATTAATAATTTCAAAACCTTTTTTAATGGTTCAAATGATCTAAATCCAAAGATTAGGTTTAAATTATTTTCATGTTTTCTTTTGAAGGTAACTACTTGTAGATTTTCTTGGGTTTCTGCTTTTTGTTTTGCTTGGTTTTTTTTGTTTGTTTTTTTTTTTTCTTTTGGTTTTTTTCCAGTACCGGGAATCAAACTCACGACCTTGTGCTTGCCTTTGTTTTTCTTTAAAAAAAAAAAAAAAAAAAGGCTGTTAGACACACAATCTAGGACTGTTACTCAAATAGATTTATCATGCTACTAATTTTCTTCCAAAAATTGATACAAATAATAGATATATTTCTATTTATACCCTTTTACAAGTTGAGTTTTCTTTAAATCCTTGAATGTTTAGAAGTAGTTAAGAGCTGCTTTTTTTCTCTGCATATAAAATTAGAGAACATTGATAATTTTATGAAGCAGGGCTTGCACTTCTAAAATTTACATTCAGTTTCATTTCTTGCTAATTTGTTTTTCAGCAGATTTAATTACAAGCCTTCAGAATGCCAGAGAAGCACAGGATATTCGAATTAAAAAGAAACAAAGGCAGCATATCTTTCCACAGCCAGGTAGTCTGTATCTTGCAAAAACATCCACTCTGCCTCGAATCTCCCTGAAAGCAGCAGTAGGAGGCCGAGTTCCCTCTGCGTGTTCTCATAAACAGGTACACTTCTGTCTATAATCCTAAGAGTTTTTATAGCGAAGGGTGACTTTATTAACTAGTATCTGCAGATTGTTTTATTTGAAGAAAGAACATATTACTGCTAAAACGAATGAGTAAAATCATACTTCCACGTCCACCTTCAGTGGCCACCTCCCTTTCCTTTGCCATACTGGCCTTATCCTGTGACAATGATCTGTGCCTAAAAACCATTCTTTCTCATAATCCTTCAAATCTAGGTGTGAGAGAGAATAGGCACCTTGAATGTAAAGTATGAACAACTGATAGCTGTGAAGAGGATTTGAGCAAGCCATTACTATCTAGGTAGAACTTTTTGCAATGGAAAGTTGGAAATAATGTTCATGGTATCAACAGCTGACACTGACATTTTTATATGTAAGACACTCTTAGTCCATTACATGCATCGGTTATCTATCACTTAATCCTCACAACCACCCCAGAGAAAAGCAGTGTTATTTTGTTCATCATTTTGTAAATGAGAGGACTGAACCATGGAGAAGGTAAAGTAACTACCCAGAGTTACTGAGCTAGTAAGTGGAAGAGCCACAATTCTAGAGCAAAAGTCTGACTCCAGTCAGACAGTGAAGAAACAAAAAGACACATTGGGTCTGGCATATTGAGATGAAAGAAAGCACCCCAAAGGGGGGTCAGACTCCCTAAACTACTTACTCTTTCCCATGTTCTCTCCCTTCGACTCTTTGCAATTTAATAGGTTTGGTAAATTATTATTCTTTAATCCCCCAAGTGCCTCCTATGGCATATTTGGCAGGAGGCTTATACACAGAAGGAATAAAAATGTGCAGTAGGCTTTTGAAGTGTAAGTCATTTATAATACATTACAGTTTCTAGTTTCTAGTAAAGGCTTTTTGTTTTAAGGGATTTTTGTTTTGTATTTTGGTTGTGTGTGTGTGTGGTGCTAGAGATTATACCCAGGGCCTTGCATACGCTAAGCACATACTCTGTGACTCATCTGTACCCTCAGTCCAGTAAATATATTTATAATAAAATCTTTAGTGTTTAAATGAAAAAGTTTTGGTGCATTCAGTGTTGGGGTGTTAGACTTGTTTTTATTCCATCAAGTGTTTCATTTGACTTTATTTTATTCATTATCAAAATTGTCTATTTTTGTGCAGCTCTATATGTATGGTGTATCCAAACACTGTATGAAAATTAACAGCAAAAATGCAGAATCTTTTCAGTTTCACACCCAAGATTACTTCAGTAAGGAAGATTTACAGGCTGGAACGGGAATACAGTTGGCTGATGGTGGATGGCTTATACCCGACAATGATGGAAAGGCTGGGAAGGAAGAATTTTATAGGTACTGTGTGCAAAATGTGTTAACTTTGACATACTCCATCACCGCCCTCCCTCACAATTGCCCTCTTGTCTTCCTTTATGTCTCTTGAACTAAAGCTGGCTGGAAATTTAATTTTTATATATTAAGTCATTGTAAGTACATTGTGGTTCAGTGGATATTCTTATAAAGTTGTTTAAGAAGTGATTCCTGACATCTGTATTACCCTAAATGGGCCTGGTCTCTTGAAGAGTGAGTGTGGTTTGTCCTAGAATTAAATGAATGGGGTTTTCTTATATTGGCTGTTTTTCTTACGCATTAGTTAAAGTTGGTAAGAAAAGTTAAATTTGAGTGGCTTTGTGGTAGACAAATATGCACACATTTATGTCACATTCTCTTTCATTGTATAACTTATAAGTACAACTTATAAACACTAAAAGTGAAACAGAAATATTTAAGTATTAGTAATACCAAGTAACTAGAAAATATCCTCACTTATGGTGAATCTTTTACAGCTTTGGGGGATACAGGCAGCCCACTGCCGTATGTGTGCCATAGGTTCGCCACCACTGCTCTAACGCATCAACGTTTTAGAAGCTATATAATCATTTTTTACTCTACTGTTTATATAAACATAACTTTTTTGCTGTGAGGATATATTACCTCAAGCTATGGGAAGAGATGGGAATCCTTTCTTTAGTGCACTTACTATTTTTTTAAATCTGTGTATCTTTCCAGAATTATTAGTTTCAGAAATGTGGTAAAACATTTTTTCCTGGAAAGTGTTTTAACTTTTTTGAAGTACTTTAAAAAAAGGAAGCCCATGTACATTTTAGATGTTTCCTACATAACACATGTGCTTATAGATTCTGGTAGGAAAAGCATAGTACTACACTTGTATTATTTTCTTGTATTATATAACTGCACAATACGGAGATCTATAGATTACACTGCAGTCAAGTGAGTGTGTTTGAGCTCTATTTAGTTGTTTGATTATTCAGCAAATATTTATTGGGCATGTACTGTGTTTAAATATTAGTCTAAGCACAAGATAGCAAAGCAGAAATAGAAAGCTCCCTGTTTTAATGAGTCAAGCCTTCTAGTGAGAGTGGAAGGTGCAAAACATTCTTTAAAACGGTATCATATTACAAGTTGATAAGTACTATGAAAATAGAAAATAAAGTTTGAAAGACCGTAGAGGAAGTAACATGAGGAGAGCTGCAATTTTTTGTCAGGAATGAATCTGGGTTGAACCCCAGCCTTCACACTGAGTAACATTCCCAGCCCTTTTTATTTTTTATTTTGAGAAAGGGTCTTGCTAAGTCACTAAGTTGCCCAAGCTGGGCTCAAACTTGCAATCCTCCTGCCTTAGCCTTCCAGAGTGCTGGGACTACAAGTATATGCCACCACTCCCATCTTCAACTCTTAAATAAAGTCGTCAGAAAGGTTTCACTGACATACCCTGGAGATAGTAGAGGGAGGGAGTGCAGAACTGTCAGGGAGGGTATCACGGGGTTCGGGAGGAATGTGCTTTTGAAGTATTTGAGGAGCAAGAAGGAAGTTAGTGTAGCTGGAGTGAAGTGGGGAGAAGAGAAGAAGTAGGTGAGGTAGGAAGAGAGGATCTCACAGATCGTCGTGAAAAGCATGGCTTTTATTACGTGAGTGCAGCTTTTACTCTTGAGTAAGCCATTAGAAAGAAGGTTTAAAGCAGAGGGAGACACGATCTGACTTACTTTTGAAAAAGTTACTCCGACTGCTTGTTGAGATTGGGCTGTGGGGAGGGGCACAGATGAAGCCAAGAGGCTCCTTCGGAAGCGGCTGCAGAAGTCCGGGTGCAAGGCGGTTGCTGGACCGTGAAGGGGGCAGCTGGTGAAAAGCTGTTGGATTTTAGGTGTACTTTGATGGTGACACTGTCAGGATTTCATCAAGGATTGCATGTGGAGAGTGAGAGAAGAGAATAGCTTCAAAGATTTGGCCTCGGCGGCTGGAAAGGTGGTTACCACTAATGCTACCAGAACTGAGGAGAACAAAGACAGAAGGGAAATTGGACTTCAGCTCTGAATACTTGAAGCTTGGTATCTGACAGTGACATCCAAGTAGAGATGTTAGGTGGTTCTAAAATACTGTAGCTAAACAAGTTTTAATGTTTCTTCCTGTATTATTCTGGACACACATCAATTTAACTACACAGAGGGCAATGCCAACATGGTTCAGGGGGTCCTGCAGTGTAGAGAGGGGACTGCACCCTGAGAGGCAGCCAGGGCAGAGGCCACCGCTGCTGTCTGCACACCTCCCGCCTACCCTACCCCTGCAGAGCCCACTGCACAGGCAGCCTTTGCTGCTGAGTGGAGTAAAATCTATCAGCTGTTACTGCATTACATTCTAATGTTTATAAAAACAAAGGGCATATTTGACAATTACAGCACTTCTCCCGCTCCAGTATGCACTCACTGAAATTTGGAAAGATTTGACTTGGACTTGCTATAGGTTTTTCCACGATGATTACACCAGTAGGGCTTTCACCCAGTATGGATTCTATGATGTTCATTAAAATTTGAGCTGTGGTTGAAGGCTTCCCACATTGCTTACATGTATAGGGCTGCTCTCCATTGTGGAGGCGCTGATGTGAACTGAGACCTGCGTGCTGACTGAAGCTCTTCCCGCACTTGTTACACTGAAATGGCTTCTCCCCACTGTGAATACGATAGTGTCAAGTGAGGCTGCCTTTGCCACTGAAAGCCTTTCCATAATCTTTACATTGGTATGGCGCCTCTTCTGTGCATTTTCCGATGGTTAAGGAGCTGTGAGCTCTCTCTGAGGGCTTTCCCACACTTATAGGGCCTGTCCACCAAGTGTATTCTGTAATGAGGGTAAGGCAGGACCTGTAGCTGAAAGCCTTCCCACGTTTGGTACACATGTAAGGTTCTTCCGCAGTATTCTCTGGTGTTTGCCAAGATTTGAAAGTTTTCCACACTCAGAAACTATATAATGTCTCTCTGTGGGGTGGGTTAGTGGGAACTGATTCTACCCCTTTCTTGGAACCTGTTTCTTGAGCATCTTTTGCCCTTCTTTGCTTTTCAAGATTTACCCACTCCTTTCTGACCTGGCCTCACACTGGCAGTAATCACAGGAATGATATCCCTCTCAAGTCCATCAGCACAAGACTGTTCTTTAGAACTGTTCTGCTCACCTGCTGATTGTTCTGGGGATTTGATTGGTAGGGGAAAAGCCTGATCTGAGTCCTGTTAAAGGGCAGTTGAAGAGGAGTAGGAGACAGAATACAGTCAGTTGTTTCAGGAATTGCCAAAGAGAGAAGCAGAAAGAAAGAGTACATGGAGGAGGAAGTCAGATCAAAAAGAGTAAGTTTAAGCTAGTGTGTTTCAAGGTACACAAATGTATGCTGGTAGATATTGTCTAGTAGAAAAGAAAAACAGTGTGATGCATGTGTTAACCTTTTACTATTGCAAAAACCTGTGATAATTTATAAAGAGAAAAAGGTTATTTATTTTGGCTACAGTTTTAGACTCTAGTTGAGAGGTTGGCCTTATTGCTCTTGGGCCTGTGACAAGGCAGCACATCCTGGCAGGAGTGTGTGGTGGAGCAAAACTGCTCGCCTCATGACCAGTGTACAAGAGGAAGAGAAAGGGGCCAAGATCTTACTGTCCCCTTTCAGGGGACACCCAGTGACCCAGAGGCCTCCCATTAGGCCCTTCTCAATATCATTACGTTGGGAGTGAGTTTCAACATGAATTTTGGAGGAGACACCTTTATCCAAACTCTAGGGGGAAGTACCTGGAGGAACAAGTAGGATGAAAGGGTGTCAGTTTAGGCTAGTTTGTATGTTTGGAAGTAAAAAACAACCTGTTTTTTATGCTGATGGATATTATCTAGTAACAAGGGGGGAAATTACTGATTGAGGAGAGAAGGCATTTCTTAAATGAGTGGCTTTGATTGAGCAAGAGCGGATGGGAGCTTGTGCACAAAGGGCAGAAGGCATAGTGTAAGGGTACAGGCAGTGAGGCAGGCAGGGGTGAGGCAGAGATGGGCAAGTACCTTTCCATTACTCTTGATGTTGAAGTGGAAAGCGAATAAGAAAGGACAAGGGGTAAAGAGGTTTTCGAAGATTAGGAATTACATCAAAGCAAGTCCAAGACTAGCAAAGGGCATTATCGGTGTGATTTCTAAGAATATTCTCTGTACTGAGGAAGCAGTTGTCTAAAATATAATTATTTCTAATTAAGAATCTCACTTTTGAGGAAGAACTCTCTAAATTTAAATCATTTTATTGATCATTTCATTAAGCAGAGTTTTTATGTGCTATTTTGATACATGATAATTCTCTGAAATTATGTTGTAGGTCATATGTTCACACATAAAAACTTGAACAGTCTTGCACAATGTTTTGTACAGAGGATAGTCCTGTGACAGTTGTTGAATTCAGTATTGCCTGATGTGGTTTTTGTTTGTTCTACATTCATTTGCTCAGGGCCCTGTGTGACACCCCGGGTGTGGATCCGAAGCTTATTTCCAGAGTTTGGGTCTATAATCACTACAGATGGGTTATATGGAAACTGGCAGCTATGGAGTTTGCTTTTCCTCAGGAATTTGCAAATAGATGCCTAAGTCCGGAAAGGGTCCTTCTTCAACTGAAATACAGGCAAGTTTAAAGCATTATACCAAGTAATCACCTCCTGTGGTAGGACTGAGAGCCCTGCAGCCCGTGACTTCCTTGCCTCTGTGTTGTATAAAGTTGTCCTCTCATCATCTCCCAGCCCTCTTCCCCACTCTTTAACTTCTTGATGTGGGGACAGGGTACGAATTACTGATTTGATCCATTATTCATGAATTGCTAGTAAAGCTTTTTTTTTTTTTGGGCTTTTGTACTCATTTTAACAATATAAAACAATATTTCTAACTAAAAAATTTTAGATTATCTTTCCAGTATTTCTTTGATAAATTTTCTTAATTATTCAGTGGCTTTGTTTACAATGAAATTCTAGAGACCCAATTTCTAAAATAAGCATTTTTAAAAATTTTTAGATATGACATGGAAATTGATAGAAACAGACGATCAGCTATAAAAAAGATAATGGAAAGGGATGATACAGCTGCAAAAACACTTGTCCTCTGTCTTTCTGACATTGTTTCATCCAACACAAATACATCTGAAACTTTGAGCAATAAAACTAGTAATGCAGATGCCAAGAAAGTGGCCGTTGTCGAGCTTACAGACGGGTGGTATGCTGTCAAGGCCCAGCTAGACCCTCCGCTCTCAGCTCTTGTAAAGAACGGGAGACTGGCTGTGGGTCAGAAGATCATTGTCCATGGAGCAGAGCTGGTGGGCTCTCCTGAAGCCTGTGCACCTCTTGAAGCCCCAGATTCTCTTACGTTAAAGGTAAATTAAATGAATGCGTGTCTAGGTAAGATTCAGTCACTGATTCACTTACATTCTTAAGTAGTTTTAAATTAAAATTTTACATTTACTTATGTCATTAATGATAATTTGATGATCTTAATGTAAGAGACAGATTGTTCTGTTAGTGGTGTTTTGGGGGAGAATCTGCCTCTTACTGACTGAATCTAACAACTATGAAAAAATTTTTTTTGCAGCTTGACTTATTGCCACACAAGATGGATAACAATACTCCCCAAAATATTAGAATACCCCCCTGACCCTCATTTCCTTCTCTTGGAGACCCCCTGGACCTTCCACACTCCTGCTCCTGTTCTGAAGCAGTTAAATTGGTGTGCTCTGCAGTTACCATTCTAGGAAGCCTCCCATGTTAGAAACCATTTTCCGTGGATTGCATGTCATCTTTCTAGACTTATTCCTTACTCTAGAAGCTCATAACTCTCAGGCACTTATTCCCCCAGTACTGGCAATCGAATTCAGGGCCTTTGCCCTTTTTGTTATTGTTTTTTGAGGGCAGGATCTTGCTAAGTCACTAAATTGCCCAGGCTGGGCTTGAATTTACAGTCCTCTCTATTCAGCCTCCTGGAGTGCTAGGATTATAGGGGTGCACCACCACATTCAGCTCAGAGGCTTCTCCAGAAAGGCAACATGTAGCTCTTTGAGATCTTATGGTATATATAGTTGGCTGAATATAGAATTCTAGGTTGAAATTATTCCTTTAGAATTTTGAAGACTCTATTTGCTTCTTGCTTCTACTATACCTTTTAATTAGTATAGCATATAGCTAAACAACTGATGTTTTTCTTCTCAATCCTTTATTACGTGGACTATTTTTACGATTGTTTTTCATTCCCAGTACTCTGAAATTTCATAGCAAAGAAATTGCTTTGTTTTAAAATCATTTAATCATTGTCCTGGGTACTCAGTAGCATACAGTCTAAAAATTATGTCCTTCATTGAGTTCTGGGAGATTTTCTTTAAGTGGTTCTTTGATAATTTGCTCTTCTTTTCTTCTAAATTGTCTGATATTTGGGCACTAAACCTCCTAGGTTGCTCCTCTAGTTTTCTGGTCTTTTGTTCTTTTGTCTCTTTTGTTGTCTTTTGCTCCCTTTGTTTTCTACAGTAGTTCTTCATTTTCATCTTCTAATCGTTAAAATGAATTTGTACACTGTCATATTTTTCAAGAGACCTCCTTTTTTTAAGTGTTTTTGTTGTTGTTGTTGCATTTGGTTCTTGTTTTATGGATGTATTATCTTCACATCTTTCTGAAGCTTCTGATTAATATTTTATTTTTTCTTCTCTCCACATTTTTTTTCTCTGTGAGCAGCTCTTTCTCTCTTCAGGTCTCAGGTGGGGGAGACAGACTTTCCTCAACCAGTGACCGCGGGCTGATCTTTCCTGTTCCAGTGAGGGGCACTGGTGAGCTAACTAGAGTTCTGTATGAAGTGAGGCTCCTCGCTTACAGAGTGGTGAGGTGGGGATTTGGGTTTTTCCTTAGGTGATCTTCACATACTAGTGACTGTTCCAAGAGCTGAGCAGACTAAGGAAATTTGACAGGGAGGCTCATAATCATTTCCTCTGTGCTTTCAATAGAACTTTGGTCCCTCACTCTCACTGCCTCTGCCAAGTGTTCAGAGTCCAGAATGTGTGTGGCTCAGCCTCTCGAGAAAGGGAAGTCTCCTTCATTCTGTTTTAGTGGGACAGAGGGATAGCCTCCTGGCTGTTGGGATAGGAAAGGAAATCTGGGGTTTTAACTATCTTTGTACAAACTTTTCCTACTTTTTTTTTTTTGCTTTTTTCCTCCTATTTTCTACTCTACGGTATGTTCCTGCCTCCAGAGATACCTCCAATTTCTGAGTGTTTTCTTCGTTTTTGTTTTTGTTTTTGTTTTTTTCGGTACCAGGAATCAAACTCAGGACCTTGTGCTTGCCAGGCAGGCGCTTATGCCACTGAGCTATATCCCCAGCCCTTCTTCGGTTATTTTGTGTCATATTGTTTCCTTACAACAAGTGTGGTGCCTGAGTAACCTTGGCCAGGTTATGTAATTTGCCTTATATATATCAGTTTTATTATTTGTAAAATGGGGATGAGTCTCAAGTTTGTTGTGGAGATTAAATGTTAATAGAAAGCCTTTAACACCATGCCACAGGTTCCAGAGTAAGTGCTCTGTGAGTGTTTGTCAGTCATTCTCAGATACTCTATCATTTACTTGCCCGGCGTATTTTTAGCTTCCAAACTTTTGGTGCTATCTCGTCTATTCTTTCTAGTTCTGTTCTTGTAGGTTTTGCAGGAAACCTGGAGAAATGGGTATATTTTAGTCCAATATGTTTAAATTGAAGTCCCTTTATTTTCTAATAGAAATATTTATTAATAAATATTTATTAAATAAACTAAATGAGTATTAATAATTAATAAGTATTTCTATTAAGACCTTGTAGCAGTATAAATATTTTTCAAGTACTGTACTTTGAAAATACTTGGACTTTTATAGTTTTTCTAAACTTAGTCACTTTCCTACCAATCTTCACCAGACAGAAGTGAATAATTCTCAGTAGAATGAAAACCCTTATGAAATCTTTAATAGAATTGAATGTATATTTAACTTCTGAATCAGTGTATTCATTTGTTTGTCCAGATTTCAGCTAATAGCACTCGGCCTGCTTGCTGGTACACCAAACTTGGGTTCTTTCCCGACCCTAGGCCTTTCCCCCTGTGCCTGTCGTCACTGTTCAGTGATGGAGGAAATGTTGGCTGTGCTGATGTCATCATTCAAAGAGTATACCCTATACAGGTATGATATGTTCATGAAACTTACTGTGGATTTTTTTTCTTTTAAAGCAAATAATTTGAATGTTCCCTTCCTACTATTTTATTAATACAACACATTTTATAGTGGATGGAGAAGACATCATCCGGATTATACATATTTCGCAATGAAAGAGAAGAAGAGAAGGAAGCAGCAAAACATGCAGAGGCCCAACAAAAGAAACTGGAAGTCTTATTCACTAAAATTCAAGCACAGTTTGAAGAGCGTGAAGGTAGAGTGAGTTGTATACTAAAATAAGATGTTTTTCATAGGAGAACAAAGTTTTAGAGGCTTCTAAAGCTGTCCTGGACTAATAAGTGCTTTCTTAAATTCTGCATTTAACTCTTGATTTTTTAAAAAATTTTATTACACAGATCACAAACATTTACCTTACCCAAATTATCACTGCCTTTATCAAAACACTGAGCATTTAGATAATTTGTAATTGGCTTGAGCTGTAAAATATGCCGTGCCCTCAGCATTTTTCAGGACCTTTAAGTACAGTTCCTCCTACCCTTCTCTAAGAATCCCTTTTTTTAGTATTAGAGAAAAAGGAGCAGCCAGACATGGTGGTGCACACCTGTAGTAATCACAGCACTCGGGAGGCTGAGACAGGAGGATTGCTGGGAGTTCAAGGCCAGCCTGGGCTACATAGTGAGACCATGGCAGGAAAAAAAAAAAAAGAGCAATTAGAGGAAAACTGTCAGCTTATTTTACCATAAACTGTCCTTCTTCCTTAATATCCTTATGGCATTATACAACTTTACATTTTTGTCATTGAATTTGTTTTATGTTACATCTGGAATTGGGATTTATTGTCCCCGTGGCATCATTGTTAATAGTAAAAATCATAGTGTCTTTATGTTTAAATGGCATAACTTTATTTTTTCTACCTGCCTTTATTATTGTGTTTATGTTTTCATCCATTTTGTCATGATTTTCTGTATTATTTAACTTCATATTCTGTATAAATTATAGAGAGGTTGGACTCCTAGTACTTTGTTTGCTTAAAATTATCACCAGCTCAACCTGACATGGTGGTACACACCTGTAATATTAGGACTCTGGGAAGCTGAGGCAGGAGGCTCACAAGTTTGAACCCAGCATGACCATCTTAGGGAGACCCTTTCTTAAAAAAGGATGGCGATGTAAGTCGGTATGAATGCCCTAAGTTCAATCCCCAGTACCACAAAAACAAAACTGAACCAAAAAACCACTGGCTCACACTCTTTTCATAAGTAAGTGAATCAATAGTAGAAACCATTTACTTAATTTACAAGTTACTCTATGTCTGTATATGAAATTTTTTAAAAAATCATGAGTGTACTGGTTTCAAATTTTTCAAGCAAACTTTTAGCAGATACATTTTTTGAAAAAATTGATCTCCCTTCTTTGGTGATATTTGCTCGGTTCTGTAGTTTTTGTTCAATTTTTGGCTTGGGTAATTACTAATGCTTTCTTTTTTTTGCTAGCAGACACAGCAAGATGGTGTGCACCATCACATGCACTAACGAGACAGCAAGTCCGCGCGCTGCAGGACGGTGCAGAGCTTTATGAAGCGGTGAGGCGGGCCCCGGACCCGGATTACCTGGAGGTGAGAGCGCGAGCGGCAGGTCACGAGCCCTGACCCGCTTCCTGGAAGGCTGCAGTGCCTTGTCTTCCGCAGGGGATGAGTACAACTCTGGAAGTTTCAAGAACTTTATATATTAAATAAATGTGCTTTAAAATGCAGGTAAAACTTGTTGGTTTTAAAGTAAAACAAGTATCTTCAAACAACATCTAAGTTTCCATGTCCCCAGCTCTTTCTCAAGTCCTACCTAGTTTATTTCAGAAATCTGTACCTTAAGGTGCTAGGAAAGGAAAGTTTCAGAAGCACTAAACTGTGTAAGAAATTGTGGAGCTTACACTAAACCATGTAAGAATTGTTAGAACCATTTGCTAGTAAGCAAATCTGGAATAAAATAATTACATATAGCTTGTTTTAAAATCAAATTATGTAGTATATATAAAAAATATATAAAGTATTACTATCATTAAAACATTTATTAACTTCATTAAATTTTTGACTCTTAAATATCTAAAATAATGCACATTTGAAGGTTACTTTGTTGGGGGGAATATTTTAGGGAAACTACTGGTTGTGTATTGATTTCATTTTTCGTTTACTTGATGGCTTAAGCTTGTGAATATAGTTCTAACTTTCTTAAAAGTGAGACTACAAAATGAACAGTGTTCCGTCATAATGGGTGCATTACTGTTCTGAATGCTGCGAGCAGAATCCTTCATGTTCTCGAATGTTACAGTTTGCGTTCTCCCTGAGAGAAGAGCGTCTGGTTTTAAAGCCTCTGAGTATTGCTGCAAGTCTCTACATCAAGGCTTTATTTGTTGATCCTTGTGGATTCTGTGAGTTATCATAAAGACAGTTTTAATTTCATCCACAAAACTTTACAAAATATTGATTAGTCTGATCCTCTTTTATAGAATTCACTGATTCCATAGAGGGGAAGCAAGAGATGATTGTCTGAGATCATCCACTCTGTAGCTGCACAAGTGACTTTTCACTTAGGGTCTCATTTCTACCTTTTGTCTAATGACCTAAAAGTAGGAGTTTTTTTTGTACCAGGAATCGAACTCAAGACCTTGCACTTGCCAGGCACGCACTGTACCCCTGAGCTATATCCCCAGCCCTAAAAGTGGGTTTTCTATAAAGTTTTAAGGGTTTGATTATATGACAGCTTAGATAACATTATCATTGTAACCCTTAGAGGAGAAAATAGCCATCAATTTCTAAAAATCTGCTGGGCATGGTAGCACTAACCTGTAATCCCAGCACTCTGGGAGGCTGAAGCAGAAAGATTGTGAGTTTAAACCTGGCCTGGGAAACTTGGCAAGGCTCTTTCTCAAATTAATAAATAAAAGGGCAAGGGGTGCAGCTTAGTGTGAAGGCCCTGGGTTCACTCCCCAGTACTGCAGCAAAAATAAAAAGAAAATAGCCTTGTTAAAAAAAATTATGCACACTAACAATATTGTAGGCCTTCTCTTTGTTTGGTTGGCTTTGTTGTTTGTTTTTTTTTAATTTTAAAAATAAAAGGAAAACATTAACAGACAGACAACCTTTTACAAAATAGCAAAAGAACAGTACAGACAAAACAGAGTTACAAACAAAGTGGTAGGAAATTAACAATGCTTATTGTATTACATATTGATATCTTCAAAGAGGTTTCTCATGAAAACAGAGACATGCAATATTGATCAGTCAAGGACTCATTGACAGTTTCAGCAAAGAAATAGAAGACAGTAGAACAACTATGCTAACTATCCTGTATATACATACATACATTTCTCCTTCTTTCCATTCTCTTTTCCCACATCCCACTTGCCCTTTACCCTTGAGTGTTTTCCTATCATTTCACAATGTCTATCATACCTCCTAGTTTAAATTAACTCTTTCAGGTTTTACAGTAGTGAAACAATGCAGTGCTTGCACATGCATGTCTGATTTATTTCACTTATGAGTATGGTCTCTAGATGTGACCATTTACCTATAAAGGCCTCGAGTTTATCTTTCTTTATAGCTGTGTAATATTCCATTATAAGTACTACAATTTTCTTATCCAGTCCTTTGTGGATGGACATTTGAGTTGCTTCCACATTTTAGCAATTACAAATTGTGCTGCTGTGAACATAGGTGCACATACATACATAGGTGCACATACATCGCTGTGATATGATGTTTTTAGATCTTCTGGGAAAATACCCAGCAGGGGGATAGCTGGGTTGAATGGGACCTCTAGTTTTGTGAGGAATCTCCAAACTGATTTCCCCAGTGGTTTCACCAGTCTGCATTTCCACCAGCAGTGGAGAAGGGTTCCTATTTCTCCACAGCCTCGCCAGCATTTGTTATTGGTTGATTTCTTAATGCTAGCCATTCTTACTGGGTAAGGTGGAACCTCAGTGTTGTTTTAATTTGCATTTCTCCAATCATTAATGATGTTGAACATTTTCTCATGTATTTATTTGCCATTTGTATTTCCTTTTCTGAGAAGTGTGTATTCATCTCAGCTGCCCATTTTTGGATTGGGTCTTTGAATTTGGGGGGGCTGATATTTTTTAATTCTTTATATGTTCTAGATAGAAGCCCTTTGTCTGAGGGACAGTCAGCTAAAATTTTTTCCAAATTTGTGGGTTTTCTTTTTACTCTGCTGGTGATTTCTTTAGATGTGCAGAAACTTTTCAGTAGGATGAGATCCCAGTTGTTGATTCTTTCAAGTGTTTCACGTGCAATTTGGTTTTTGTTCATGAACTCTCTGCCTACCCCTATGTCTTCAAAGTTTTTACCTACTTTCTCTTCCAATAGATTTAGTGTTTCTGGTTTAATATTGAGATCTGTGAACCATTTTGACCTGAGTTTGGTGCATTGTGATAGGCTTGGGTCTATTATCAGTCTTTGGCAGGTAGCAAGCCAGTTTTTCCAGCACCATTTATTAAAGAGGCTATCGTTCTTCCAGTGAGTTTGATTGGCCCCTTTATCAAAGATTAGGTGGCTGAGTGTGTTTTTGGTTGTGGCTGTTTCTTTCAGTGTGTTCCATTGATCCTCAGGTCTGTTTTTTAGCCAGTACCAGGTTGATCTTATGACAGTAGCTTTGTAGTATAATTTCAGATCAGGGATTGTGATTCCACCTGACTTGTCCTTGTTGCCCAGGATTGCTTTTGCTATTCTGGGTCTCTTCTGGTTCCAGATGAATTTAAGGCATGTTTTCTTGAGCTCTGTGAGGTATGCTAACGGTAGTTTAATGGGAGTTGCATTGAATCTGTACAGCAGTTTTGGGAGTATGGCCATTTTCACAATGTTGGTTCTTCCTATCCATGAGCAAGGAATATTTTTCCATTTACTGAAATCTTCTTCGATCTCGTTTTTCAGAGTACTGTAGCTTTCACTGAAGAGATCTTTTATTTCTTTTGTTAGATGGATTCCTAAATATTTCAATTTCTTGGATGTTATTGTGAAAGGTATGGTTTCCTTAATTTCCCTCTCAGTCTGTTTGTTGTTTGTGTATAGGAATGCTATCGATTTCTGGGTGTTGACTTTGTATCCAGCTACACTGCTGAATTTGTTGATTAATTCAAGGAGTCTTCTTGTGGAGTTTTTGGGGTCTTCCATGTAAAGTATCATGTCATCTGCAAATAGTGATAGTTTTACTTCTTCCTTTCCTATCCTTATTCCCTTTATTTCTCTCTCCTGTCTAATTGCTCTGGCTAGTTGTTCCAGAACTGTACTGAACAGGAGTGGTGACAGCAGACATCCCTGTCTTGTTCCTGATTTTAAAGCAAAACCTTTCAGTTTTTGTCCATTGAGAATGATATTGGCTGTTGGGTTGTCATAGATGGCTTTGATCAGGTTAAGGTAAAGACCATCTGTTCCTATTTTCTGTAGAGTTTTTATCATAAATGCATGTTGGACCTTGTCGAAAGCTTTTTCTGCATCTATTGAGATGATCATGTGGTTTTTGTCTTTGGCTCCATTGATATGGTGTATAACATTTATAGATTTGTGAATATTGAACCAACCTTGCATTCCTGGAATGAATCCAACTTGGTCGTGATGTATGATTTTTCTTGATAATTTGCTGCATTCTATTTGCTAGTATCTTATTGAGTATCTTTGCATCTGTATTCATTAGGGAGATTGGTCTGTTGAAACAGGATCTTGCTGTCATTTGAGCTGGCCTTGAATTTGCTATGTAGCCACCACACCAGCCTGTCTTGTAGGCCTTCTGAAATGCAGGTTTTTAAAAAAATTCATGTGTAAACTAAATGTTATCAGTGTATTTAGAATGACCTTTGGCAATACAAAGATTTTATAGTCTCTCTTCCAGAGGTTAAACTGTATATAGTTATAGCAGGCTAATGTGTTACATATCTAGATTCCATTTCCTATTGTACTTTGTTATTTATTCATTTTTATTACACTGGGTAAAATTCCTAAGAGGTACCATCAGGAATTTGTTAGAGGGACTTGAGAGAAGTTTTGAGGCAGAAGGATAAAAGTGTTTGTATCACATCTTCACTTATATCTACTATTCCAAAGAGCGAATGAAGTTCTACTGCAGAGTCTTAGGAATGAGGTCCATAAGCCATCCTCTCTAGCATGGCCTGTGCAGGTATTGTTCTCCCTGTGCCTTGGTGTCATCAGTTGTGACATGTAATAGCACCCATCTCAAAGAATTATTGGGAGAATCAAATGAATGAGTACATTTTCCACACATGGATCAGTCATTCATGTTAGCCATTTATGGTAGTGGTTGATTAAAGTACATGTATAAGTAGGGGATTTTTTTTCCCCCCCCAAGGAAAGTTTCTCAAAAGGATTAATAAACATTTTGAAGCATTTGAGAATATTATGAGATAAACTGAGAACATTAATCCTACCGTTAAAATGAACTGAAATCCATTGTATTTTATTCCTTTTTTAAAGCAACATAGTTATAATAGATGGACTTTATTTTTTTCTTTCACTATTTTAAATCATCACAGGGTTATTTCAGTGAAGAGCAGTTAAGAGCATTGAACAATTACAGACAGACGTTGAATGATAAAAGACAAGCGCAGATCCAGTTGGAGTTCAGGAAGGCCATGGAGTCTGCTGAGCAGGGGGGACAAGGTCTATCAAGAGATGTCACAACTGTGTGGAAGTTGCGTGCTGTAAGTTATAAGAGAAAAGAAAATTATTCAGGTTTGTATGCAGATGTATTATTTCATCAGTGTTGTTTCTAAAAATGAAGTTATTTTTAAGAGGTTGCAATTACTAGATAAAGTATAATGTATATCAGAGGAACAAAGTGTGCTACCACTGCTCACAGAGTCAGAAGAGTATCCTTAGATTTTTATTGTTGCCTGTGCTTATTTTTAAGTAAGAATTTTAACATTTACCGGCTCTTCCCATTGTGTTGTCTTCATCTTTCTGTAAACAGTTATATTGAATATTTGGCGACCGTCATCAGATTTACATTCACTCTTAACAGAGGGAAAGAGATACAGAATCTATCATCTTGCAGCATCAAAATCCAAAAGTAAATCTGAAAGAGCCAACATACAGTTAACAGCAACAAAAAAAACTCAGTATCAACAACTCACGGTACAAAACTTCCATTATGGTTTTTCAATTTTAATGAATGCATGTAACTTCATACTTTATATATACTGTTTTTATTTTCTGTAGGCTTCAGATGAAATATTATTCCAGGTTTATCACCCAAGGGAGGCCCTTTGCTTCAACAGACTTTTAGACCCAGACTTTCAGCCATCTTGTTCTGAAGTGGACCTCATAGGATTTGTAGTTTCTGTTGTGAAAAAAATAGGTAACTCACAACGTATTTTTTATTGTAGCTTTTTATTGATTCCTTTGAAAACATTCTTTTAAACTGTCTCCCTAATGATTAGTTGGAGCTGCTAGTTAGGAAATCTGCTAACTCATAATGTTAAAGTTGGCCTATTTTATTCTCTGATTCTTAATAAAAAGCAATTCTGCATTATTTCAGGGTAACAGCTTACATCCCATTCTATTGCTATGTAGTCCAGGTTGACTTTGAACTAACCATGTAGCCCAGGCTGACCTCAAACTCGGAGTCATCCTCCTGCCTCAGCCTCTTGAGTGCTGGGATTACAGGCATGCACTACCACGCCCAGCTGTGCTACTTAATTTTTAAAAAATGTTTGCAGCACAATAGTAATTACTGTCAAATAATTATAATTTTATCTCGCAAGCTGTGCTCCTTTCTCATCTCCCTAAGCACTGTACAGGTGTCAGGGTCCGGCTTTAATCCCTACTTAGGCACAGAGCCTTCCATTTCTTGAGTATTATTGTGTCCTAGGAGCTCTGCCGTCCCACTTCACTGTTGGGACAGCACCCTTGCCGGCATCTCGGAGCTGTGTGCGCTGCTCCTTCCCACGGCCAGCCACGTAGCTGGCTCTCTTGGCACCTTCGGGGCCCTTGTCAAATGTAGCTTAGTCAGAGCCTCTTCCCTGGCCACTCTTCTTAAAAGAGCAGGGCCCCCTTCAGTCCTGGCTCAGTGCTTTCTCCTCTTCACCCTACTCCATTTTTCTCCATAGCACTCCTCACCTCCCAGTGCCTGGTAATACGTGTTTCTCTCCTTTTCCAACAGAGTCAGCTATATAAGGGCAAGGACTTTGTTACTGCCGTATCCTCAGCTCTTAAAACATTGCATTTTACAGGCTCAGGTCTTAAATATTTGCTGGATTCACTGTTTACTAACTTACTTGTTAAGATTCTCCTTTCCTGGGTTCTTTGACTAAAGTTTATGTTCATCTTTTTTCCTGAGAAGGCTTCGAATGTACTGTATTCTGTGTGTTCCACACAGGTTTGAAACGTGTACATGGCTGCCTTCATTCTGAAACTATATTAGGCTGTTTACGATTGAACATCCCTAATCTAAAATTCCAAAATACAAAATGACTCAAAATCGGAAACTTTCTGGGTGCCAACATGACTTTGCAAATAGAAAATTTTTTTCCACACCTCATTCATGTGATAGTCTCAGTTAAAATGCAGCTACATTAAAAATACAGTTCTAAGTTACTTTAAGCATACATGTGTAACATGAATATGAAATATAATGAATTTTGTGTTTAGACTTGGATCTTCCCCATGAGATACCTGATTATGCAAACATTTTACTATCTAAAACATTTCTGGTCTCAAGCATTGTGGATATGGGATATCCAGCCTATATAATACATGGTCATACCTTTTCTGTTCTCTTAGAACTTTGTAGCAATTGTTGTTCTAGTAAGGAATAGTCTGGGACTGGCCTGATTTTTTTCCTATTTGGGTGATTTTCTTTTTATGTAGAGAATGTCTAAAGACTTACCTTTTGAAGTCCAAGTAAAGCTGTGGTTTAAGCTGGGCATGGTGGCGTACGCCTGTAATCCCAGCACTCGGGAGGCTGAGGCAGGAGGATTGTTGTGAGTTCAAGGCCAGCCTGGGCTACAAAGCGAGCTCAAGGCCAGCCTGAACTGCACAGCGAGACCCTGTCTCAAAAAGACAAAAAAAAAAAAAAAAAAATCTGTGGTTTAGTAATGTATATGCTCTCTTTAATCTGCAGATTCAGTGCTTTCTATATTTCTGGGAAATGTATGAAATCTTTGAACATATCTGTTCCATGTATTAGAATCATTACTTCAGTAATACCAGTTAGCCTGTGTTAGATTATTTTTATTCTTACCTTTATCTGATTGCTTCCATTTCTTTCTTTTTTCCATGTTCATTCACTAGAATTATACCCAGCCTTTATGTCCTTGATTTTATTTTCTGCAGTGTGCTGCATATGTCTTACTCCTTGTTACATTTCATCTGTATCTGTTGCATTGTGAAGATGTGTTAATGTATTTCTTTGGTCCTGTAATACGCTTTGTTTCATCTTGCAGAGCTGTTTATCACCTCATGGCCATCCTTTTTAGTGACTACATACTGAGTTCCGTAGCTTGAATCAGTTTTGAAGAATTTAGGAATTTTCTGTCGACTTTTATTTTCCTGTGGGTTGTGCTCTCTGTCTTTGGATGTGCTTCTCGTCCCCACTCACGTGCTCTACCACAGACTATGCTGACCCCAGCCTTCTTCCTGTTTCTTGATGTGTTTTGTCTAGTTAGTTGTGTTTTGCTGCTCTGAGGATTTTTCCTCGTCCTCTACATCGTTGCCATACCATTTACTTCATCGCGATCGTGCTGTGACTCTCCATACATCCCACGATTGTTACAGGGAGTGGATAGCTTTTAGTCATTTACGCACCCAGTACTTACTGAATGACTGATGTGCCAGGCACTGCTGTGCTGCTAGGCGCATAAGCAATGAACGAAACCAGACAGGAGTCCCCGTCGTGGGGCTGACACTTTGGCACAGGGGAGAGACTCCTGCAAGCCAAGTGAGTAGCACGACTAGTTTTCTTTGTGAGCACCAAGGGGAAAAAGGAAGTAGGGAAAAGGAGGTGGTGTCAGGGGAAAGGGAAAGGAATGTAATTTTAGCCGAGAGATGAGGAAAGACTTCACTGAGAGTTTTGTATTTTCATGCGACCTCGAGGAATTGAGGGACTGGAGCATGTGGCGCCTGGGGAAGAACATCCGCACAATTACAAAGGCCACGGTAAAGCAGCGCCTGCTGCCAGGAACAGCCAGAAGAGAGGCTGTGCAGGACCAAGTCGTGTGGAGGTCCTTGTTGGACTTTCACTGTTACTGTGAGAGCGATAAGTAGGCACAGGACGTTTCAGGTAGCAGAGGAACAGGACTGACGGGTTTCACGGGATCACTTAGACTGCTAGGTCAAGAGAAGCCTGTAGGAAAGGTGGGGGTGCACAGAAAGAAACCAGTGGGAGACTGTCACAAGAAATGACGCAAGAGAGGTTGAGGAACCAGACAAAAGCTGTAGACGTGCAAGAAACAGTCCAATTATGGTTGCATTTTGAAGGTAGAAGGATAGTGCAGGATGGTCTGAGCATCTGGCAAAAAGGAGTTGCCGTTTACTGAGAAGGAAAGACTACCCAAAAAGCAGGTTTGCGGAGAAGCTCAGGAGCTTAGCTTCAGACACTAGGTTCTGGGTGCTTCTCAGGCGTCTAAGTAGTGGCGTCTGCTTGATGGTTGTGTAGGAGTTCGTTCGGGGGTGGTCTGGGTAAAGCTGTAAACTCGGAAGTCATAACCTACAGGAGACGTTTGAAGTCGAGGGCTGAGTGAGGTCGCTTCGAGCGTGGGAGTGGAAGGGAGCTAAAGCCAGCCTCAGCATTGGCCTTGGCCACAGCAGGGGCGAGCGAAGCAGGGAAGTATTTGGGTACAGATGCAAGTGGAAGAGGTGATGGGAAGGGACCCTTGTGGTGGGCTTTGCTTCTCTCGCCTCACTGACACAGGGAGCAGAGTCAGCAACTCAGAGTGGAGGAAAAACTAATGCAGGTTTCGCACGAGAGAGAAGGCATGGAGTCCTCGCCCCGGGAAGCAACAGTGACAGATGCAGTGCATGCTCATGAGTGTTTGTGTGTGCGGTGCTTTGCTGGCTGTGTCGGTTTGTGATGGTATGTGCATGAAGTCACTGGGAAATGGCATTTAAGTAGGATTGTAGTTTAGCCTAGTGACTAACATGGCATTTAAGTAGGATTGTAGTTCAGCCTAGTGACTAACACAAGCAAGAAAAGAAGAGCAAACAGCCAGTGGTGAGTTAAAATCTTTATGAAATGAAGTGAGTGCCCCAGCGATCTGAAGATGCCTACAGCAGGTAGTCGTGAAGGATAACACAGGACTCGAAGGTGAGTGTTTTTAGGGTGAGTGAGCAACAAGAGCAAGGACGTCTACCTCCTCCCTGCGCTCAGTACCGTGAGGTCTGTGGGGACGGCTGCGCCACCAGACAGCAGCCAGGTGTCCATTACAGCACGGGGTAAGAGCAGCTCCTGCAAAGGTTGGGGGCCCAGTGAGAGGATTGCTGGAGGCTGGGAGATGCGCGATGGCATCAGAAAAGGTCGTGTGGCAGCTTCCTGGAGAGCAGTTCAAGGGATGAGATGAGCTGGTGCCTGGGCTTTTGTGGAGACTCACCTGAGATTGGCTCCAATGGTCCCGAAGCAGACGGGGCAAGGCGAGGGGAGTGGGGGAAGAAAAGTGAGGAGAGCTGCCAGAACCGGTGTGGCTCTGGGCTGGTTCTGTACTTACTTAAGAAATACCTGTTTTTAGCCAGGCGTGGTGGTGCACGCCTGTAATCCCAGCACTCTGGACGTTGAGGCAGGAGGATCGTTGAGTTCGAGGTGAGCCTGGGCTGCAAAGTCAGCCCAAGGCCAGACCAGCCTAAACTACATAGCAAGACCCTGTCTCAAAAAAAAAAAGAAATACCTGTTTTTTTTTCCTCTTCATTTACAGTGCAGGGCTGGATTTTTGAGCTTCTACCCACTGTACAGTCTGTATCCCCAGAGGGTATTGTCTTGAGTTCTGTATGATTTTCCCGAGTTCAGCGAGTAACCCTGTGTACTAATTTAGATACTAGAACATTCCTCACTTGCAGGTTTTTTACTTCCTTTTTTTAACAAATTTAATTTGATGTTACATGTTAGAGGAAAGAAATTATATTAGGAAGTTTCAAAGTGTCACTTTATAGGGCCAGGGATATAGCTCGGTGGCACAGTGCCTGCCTGGCAAGCACAAGGTCCTGAGTTTGATTCTCTGTACCAAAGAAAAAAGTGTCACCTTACACTGGAGTCACCAGTATCTAATCCTGATGCTTCTAAGTTTAAAATCTTGAGTAGATCTCTGTGCCTTAAAAAATGGAACCCAAACTCTTTCATGTGCCTAAAAAAATCTTCAACGCTGTCTCTTA